CAGAACACAAAAACTGATGTGCGAATGTTAGGTTCCCCCACCTAAATGGAGGGGGATGTAGAAAATCCTACCCTATAATACCTGACATGCACACCCAAAAATAATTTAAATTTAGTAATTTCCTTTTCACCAGCTGTAACACCAGTCATGAAATAGGTACCACTTGGATGATATTAATGACCTCAATTTCACTGCATTTAAAATACTATTGAGTTAAACTGATTATTAAAACTCTTTCCTCAGAAGAATTCTACTCAAGGCTGATAAAGCCAAATCAATTTTAACTGAATGTGAAAGGAACATTACTGTAGGTAATAGATAGAGCACTTGAAGCAATTTACAGGGATGCAGAGCTTCCACAGAAGGATTATGGCACAAGTCACCTAGATAAAAAAGAATTATACCAAAAGAAATTAACATGGCAAGAGTATCCAGTCCTGTAAGACTTGAGTATGGAAGTGTAACAAGTAGTTTAGAGCAATTTTAACAATGGTCATCAACACAGATTATTGAAATGTGGTGATGGGGTGTGCTGCAATTTAATGGTAAAAGAATCAGTTTTGCATACCAAAAGTTCCAAGCTCAATTGCCAGCATCTCCAGTTTAAAGAAGAATCTGTAAGAGCATCTCAGCATAATGTTGTTTTAAACTCATTTGGGTTCCAAAACGCAACACACACATAAGCCAGGCAATAAGCCACAATAAGCCAGTGGTGGCTTGTTGTGTTCTCTGAATCCAGCAGCAAGCGTGAACCATGCACAAACCACTCTGGCAGAGTTCCGACTAGAAGACCACCATGGCCTATCATGCTGTGTGAACCCAGTAATTCTGTTAACTCCCTCTGGACACTCCATTGACATACTTTATTTTCTCTTCATAGCACAGTGCACTCGCTCTCGCTCGCTCTCGCGCTCTCTCTCTCTCTCACACACACACACACACACACACACTTGTTTTTCCCTTACTGTCATGTCTTATATCATATATAGACATATCTCTCTGCATTCCTCTTTCCTGTGTCTGTCTTATGTCTTGTCTTACTAACCTTCCTCCTCACTGCGTCGGGCAGTAATAGCACACAAAGCTTTACTTTGGTTTCCCAACAATTTTGCTGAGTGTCTGAACTACAGATAGGCCATGCAGCCCAACAGATGGAACAGACTCCACTGCATACTTCCGAATCCAAGGGAAAGGTAGAGTAATGCAAGCAGGAAAACACGAACATTCTCCCAACCACAGCATTTTTTGATTGCCTTTGATGGACAACATATTCCACATAAGAAACTAGGGAAAGGAGCATAAAAACGGGTGCTTTGAATTTCACAGAGGTTTGTAAATGTTTAGAAAAATGTTTATATCCCATTTAGGCAATTTGGAGAATGGATTTTAAAACAGACACCAATCACATTAAAGACCATTAAAACTATTTAACACAACAAGGAAAGAATGCAGAAGGGAACAAGATCAAGCCAGAGGGTAGACTGGCACCCAGAAAAGTGTGCAAGATAATAAAGGACTTTTAAGAATGGCAGGTAAAAAGAGTAGGGAGGGAAAATTACTCTGAAAGAAGACAGAGCCTACACTGGAGGAATTCCACACAGCAACGTGTTGTTAAAGGCCTCATCCATCCCCAGCAAAAGAGCCAACTGCAACTCCTCTGGCTGGTCCTACTGCTGGGGACTCAGTTTTGCTACTCCTGCACCTTTGTGCATGGGGAAGGATGCAGTGGAGGCAAAACAACATGTTGCTCAGCCACTCAACAGATGGGAGTGGCACACAGGGGATTTCACAGCAGAAACACCATAGGAATCCCTCTTTCCTTGATGCCAAAAGAGGTGCAGTGGACCAAACTGGCCCTAGGGCCAGAGGTTCTCCATTCCTGCAAAAGGGTAACACATGATCAATTTCTTTCACCTTGGATAAGTAATGGTTGTGCATCATACAAATACTTACCTGGCATGCTGGTTTCCTGGACAATTAATAAATCTAGGTTTGCCATCAAGGCAAAGAGGAAGCCACAGAACAAATGTCTCTGATGAATATAGTTGTACAACATGACAGTGACATTTTAAATACATCTCTCATTCATGTCACATTCATTTTAGGGGCTTCTGAAGTCCCAACTGGTTCTTATGCAAAACTAATGTATGGAAGAAATTCAATTACTATTCATGACTGGTATCACCAGAACAGAATGCTAGTACTGAGATGGAAGAACATTCCGGTGTGCTACACAATTTCCCCGACTTAGTTTTCCACTAAAAATTGTGCTTGAGCTCCCCCTCTTGGTTAAATTTTGTCAAGTCTATTATCTGTTCCCACAGGCATTCCCTAGAAGGTAATCTTATCTTCTGGTTCAAGAGGTATGTTTGCACTTTGCTCAGAAATCTCTTTAAATTAAGCAATTCATAAAGGCATCTCACACCTGCAGCTTGAATGGATACAGTCCATTCTGGTTGTAGGATAAACCACAATTAGCCTACAAGTTTGAACATCCCATCACTGATTGTTGGTTGTCTACTTAAGATGGCCATGATAAATAATCCATGATTAGTATTATATGCAAACCAGGGCTATCTCAGTACAGCAGCTGCCTACATTCCTCAATTAAAACTGTAGTGAGTTTTCCCCAGCCTTGCTCCTCCCAGAAGGGAATAACAGGAGTTGCTGTAATTCATATCTAGGGAATAAGGCTGGGGAAGGTTGCTGTGAATTGTACCTAGAAAATATACAAGGCAGGTTACTCTGCAAATGACATGGCACTACTCCAAGCAGACACATAACCTATGCAAACATATATTAGATCATCATTGCTGGGGGCACAGGAAATACTGGCAACACCCTCTCAACTCCATCATATATCAACTTTTAACGTCAGTCTCTCTTGTTTTGTTTTGTGATTTACTGTTTCGCATTATATATTATTCTGTTTTAATTTATTTATTAGAAATTGTTGTGGTTTTAATTGTTCTTTTAAACATTGGACGCCATCCTGAGATTTTTATATAATAGGATGGCTTATAAAAGCTTTAAATCAATCAATCAATCAATCAATCAATCAATCCTGAAGTACTCATTGATACAGAAGTTGTCTGTATCACCTGGCTACATCCTACCAGAAGCAACCTGTGTTTCAACACTGTCAGTATGCAAGGAAACAGATGGAAGACACCTCTGAAAGATCTCTTTTCTGTTATGTCCCTCCTCTTGCCACCATAATATGCCAAAAATGGAGTTCACAGTTCTATGCCTTCTACCCAGCAGGGAAACCTTTTGACTGAAAGCACGAGAGCTGATAGAGCATACTCAAAGGCGTTTTGTTTTCCTCTGACCCTAGGGCTAACCCACAGATGGCTTCAGAAAGTTTCCTTCATTTCAAGGGAACGTCTTTCTGCATGAAGTTATGAGCCAGTGGGGGTTTGCTCAATTCAGACTGGCCAAGATAAGTCACTTCCCAAGAAACCAGCAAATACCTTGGAAGAAAATAATCTCAATTCAGAACCCTGAATTATGTCATCAGGAGCACTTCTTCCTGCACTTCATCACCTGGCGGTGTTCCCCTGGCTCCCCTTTCCCCAAATGAATCAGGCAAAAGTCACAACGTATTATCAAGCTGGGGATGCAACCAGCAGCTTATATACAGCAGCATCCTTTATCTCTGTGCAAACCCTGATGTCCCCAGCTTCCTGCTACTGTGAATCAGAGCAGTGTAGCCAAACAATGGCCAGGAGGCAGCAAGCTGCATTTGCAGCCCAACAACAGAGAGCAGCAGCTAGAGACACCCTTTGGAACACTTCACTCACTCCTGCTTTCTGATGGCTGTCCAGCTCTTCTCTTTTTCTGGTAGCAGGAAGGGGAGATGGAAGAAGGTGAGAGGCTAGAAGGATGTTTGTCTTCCCACACTTCTGTGGCTTAAGATGTTCTGGAGAACTTTTCTCAGGTTCCATGGCACTTTGAATACTGCCACATCCTACACACCAGAGAAAAAGGCCTCAAACTTTGCAAGTGATTGATAAATTTTGAGGAAGGATGTGGCCAGGGCCAGGATGCAGGGGCGAGAGCAAGGAGAGATGGCAACAGCAAGCTCCACTACAGGAAAGGTCCCAATGTGAAAAGGCCTGAACTCAGCCTGTGATTAGGGTGAAGCTTCTCACTCTTATTTCAAACAAACATGCTCCAAATTTGGCCCCTGTCATTGGTGGGTTTCTGTTCATAACCCAAACATAACCCAAAAGCCCCAGTAGGCCCACATGGCATACTGATGTATGAAACCAAGAAAAAATAGAAGATCAAGAAAGAAAATGGCATAAACAGCTGATTTAGTCCAATGGGGTAATATTTAGTAATTCATAGGAGACCGAGACCAACAATTCCTTGATGAAAAGGAACAGTTTGAGAACCCAGTTTGATTAACAGTATCTGGGAAAAACTTGGTTTTTCTGGAGCAATTCTGTTCTTCTATGGTTAAAGCTAATTAAGTCCTTCTGGTCTTACAGGAAAAAAAGATCAAGAAAAATGACCAAGAGCACAAAATTGGTAGGTTATTATAACATTTCAGGGGTATGAAACCTTTTGCTCATGGTCCAAATCCAGCCCCTTCAGGGTCCCACTATGGTTCCCCAGGGTTCTCCTGACAGCTATACCTTCTTCCCTTTGCCCTACCCACTTTCCCCTAATCAGCTATCACTTGGCAGTTTGCCACCTTCTGTATAGGGTCTCTCCCATTTTAAAAGGTCGGAATGCTCTTTCTCAGGTGCAATGACTGGCAACAAGAGCTTTAAGTAAAATATGATGTCATTTTCACCCCACCCCTCTTATTTTTGGGTTGCCCATCCCCAAAACCTTCAAACTGGAATTCAGCCCTTGGGCTGAAAGAAATCCTGCAACCCTGCTATATTTTTGGCAATGTCACCTGTTAGAGAGTACTTTCCCTCCACTGAACCCCTAAAGCATACACATCTCTGCATTGCACTGTATTTTGCTACAACTGCGGCACTTACGCTTCATTGTCCCTTCGTCCTCCTCATCTTCTGTATTTATGACCATTGTTCCCAATTGTGACTCTAAGGTGTCATTGTATTCTATCATTGTATTGATGCCATCACTCATTCCACAAGCAGCTCTGATTGTTCCAGTTTCTTGTCCCCTTGCTCTCACCATGGTCCTAGAATCAGTTTCATCTTCTTCCTGAACACAGATGCAAGAGATATACTTCTGAATCAGTTACTCTAAGCAAGAGAACAGCACCTCTCTGCTACTATGTCCATAAAGATGAAAAGGGCATGTAATGTTGACAAATGTGATTCTACTCCAGCATCCAGTCACAACCTGTTCCATGGAATGAAACCTTGTATTTGGTCACAGTGGAAGTATCACATGCTAGATGAACTAGGAACATTGCAAAGCTTTAAAAATAATAAACTGTGGAACAAGTTATATAAGATTAAACTGTTTGAAAAAAATAGAGATGATTTAATGTAACTACAGAGCAAATTACTGAAATCCTATGCTCTTGTTGTTTTGAATTAACCTCTAAAATCAAGGCTATGGTAGAAGCCAATATTTTAGCTAATATAAAAAGAAAGCACCAGAGAAGATGGTAAAATTGGTTAATGTCCTGAACTCATGCCGTATTTGCCAAAAGTGACTCTGCATGCTTCTTCAAGTTCCTTGGAGAGAGACCAGGATAGGAAAAAGGAAAAGCCAAAATATTTGTTTAATTTTATTCAAAACTGTCATCTTAGCTTTGCATCTAATCAGAATTCTCAGCTTCAAAGAATAGTCCATATGCTGCCTAACAGCCAAATGATGCTAAACACTATGTTTAACTTTACAGGGAAATTCCAAGACATTCTAAGAGCAACCACCACCATTCAGTTCTAAGAAAATAGCCTATTTTAAGTTACTTTGCTTGGCTGTTATATTGCATATGTTACATTTGGTTCTAAGAGCACTTGAAAAACTGAGGGACTTAATTTTCATCTGGTTCTTCAGATCAAAGACTCTTAGGAGCATATGCCTTACAGAGGTCAACAGTAAGACAGCCTCTGCCCTCTGGTTTACAATCCAGAAGACAATACAAAAGGAAAATGGATTAGGACAGAGAAGGAATGAAGCAAACCCAGGCAACAGATTTTAGTTACAAGATAAAATTATCACTTCCAGGAAGGGTAATCCTCTTCCTTCAGGCTGTTTATAGTATATGAAGAGGACCTTTGACAAGCTGCTGATGCCTGTGTTCTGAGCTTCTTGGAAACGATTGTAATGTAGCCAGACACAGCTAACTTTACAGGACAGGCCTTTTGTCACTTCTGCTGTGGCAGGAAAGGCCTGGGGAGTGCTCAGACAACAAAACCAGCCATCTGACCAGAAAGAGACAGCTGTGCTAAAGTATTGCTCTGACATGTTTCAGAAAAATCCCTTTATCTCGGACAATATAGTTTTATCTAAACCTTCTCTCTACTGGGTCCCTCCAAATACTGTGAACCTCACCTGCTATCAGTCCCAGCCAGCATGACCAATAGGAGGAATGCTTGGTTTTAGGATTCAAAATCTCTAAAAGTAACCAAGTAGGAAATGGCTATTCTAAAACTTCCAAATGGCTACTAAAATTATTTCATTTCTGACTGGCCCAAAGTCTAAGAAATTCCCCCAATAAAGAGATCATTGGAAATGCAAGTGGAATATGTGAGTGCCACTGTCACTTTAAAATACTTTTGCGGTTGTTGGGCCTGGCTGACACACATCAGCTGCAGAACAGGTGGCGGTCTGCTCTTCCTCACAAAGCAGGTGACTCAGAACTGAGAGCTTCAATGAAAAGGAAAGAGGAGTCCAGCACAACCACTTGAGAGGGCAGAGCGACAGTTTATCTTGCTGGCCTGCTTCTTAAAAAAAAGTCTATCTAGGAAATGTAGTGCCAGGCTGAAAAAATTCTAATGGAAGAATTATAAACAGTGAACCAGAAGAAACAAGTTGACTGTGCTATTACAAGAACAGTAGTGGTTTGAGCAGTTGTACTCACTGAATTTTCTTCATCATCGTGATACATCTCACGCTGTTGAGCTTCCTGAATTTTCAGTTTAACATCCATTGCCTCATTTATCAGGTCTCGCAGAATGAAAACTCCTTTGGCATTCTTTACAAATGGATGCTAAAACACATATCAAAATTAAGAACTTTGAACTAAAATTTAAAAGCCTTAACTCCATAGCTACAATTATCACTTTATTTCTGTTGATCCAATAGGTATGCTGGTGGCAAACCAACAGGTTTAATCAAAGGCAAGTCAGTCCTAGTCCATCTGTGCAATTCATAAGGCAAAGGAGATTCCAGCGCACTATGTTAGAATAATTCAGTAGCCTAGAATGCATGAGAACTACCCTTGCCAAGTAAGCAGTATATAGAGCCCAGTCTGTCAGCATCAGAGCTTCAGGTTCAGATATATATATGTGTGACCTCCAAATGCTCCATTGAATCTGCCAGTAACAATCCTCTGCATGTTTGCTGAGAAGGAGACCCCAGTGAATTAAGCGGAAGTTAATTCTGAATAAGCATGCATAAGAAGGGACTTCACTTGTTTGCATGACAGTTTCAATTTATACACTGAAAGCTGTACCGATGTAACGTCTTCAAAAGAGATGCACAATAAAAATATGAGAGACACATATTTATATACACATGCATATGTGCATCTTAGCACAGGGGGAAGGAAACAAACCTAATGTCTAGGGTGAACTAGAAAAGCTGGTGAAGGTGCTTAGCATAAGGTGGCATAACAGAGTATTGAACATGGAGAGCTGGCTTCTAGTCCCTATTTGGACATGAAGCTTACAGGATGACTCTGAGCCAGTCACTGACTCTCAGTCTAATCCACTTCAGTGGTTTGCTGCCAGGCTAAACTGGAGGACAGATGGATCGTATGGGCCACTTTGTATTCCTTGTAATCATAAAGAACACAGGATATAATTGCAATGCTATATACAATAAATGTATAAAAACCAGGCATTCCAAAGCACACCATTAGGAATGCTGAACACCTGTTATATTGACAACTGAGGCAAAGGGGGAAGGAGGGTCATTTTGTTTATTTACATTACAACTCAGCAGACACTGACCTGAAGCAGCTGGGTGGCTGTGGCTCTTTTTTCCGGACACTTCACAAGGCACTGCTTGACAAAATCTGTGAATTCGTCTGACCATAATTCTGGCTTTCGGAACGTTGGAGGTGGATTTGTTGGAATCATAAAAATGGCCTGCAAACAACAATATAGATAGGGAGACAGGCAGACACCCTCTGCTCCTCTTATGAGAAAAGAGAGGCTTAGCATACTGGAGGAGTTACTTGTAAGACTCCAAAGGGCCAGTGCTCCACTGACACTTCTGTGCAGGGAGTGGCAAATGGAACCCTGAGCATGCCTATTCCCCCCAGCAACGCCCCACCCCAGGAGGCCCACCAGTAAAATTAGGGATGCACAGTACCAGCTCCCATGGGTGCTGCATTTTATACCCACATGCCAACCAAGATTGTATCACTCTTCAAGAAACCCCACAAAAATTGTACTCTGCCTAAGAACAGGTGAAAGTGGTAAAAAAAAGTCATGTTTGAACAGGAGTTAACAGGAGCCAATAGTTCAGGAGTGAGCAAGCTCTGGCCCTCCAGGTGTTCTGGCTAACAATTTCCATTATCCCTCACCACTGACTGAGCAGGCAAGGCTTGATGACTCATGGTCCTCTGAATGACTTGGCCCACAAGTTGCCCACTCCTGTAATAGATGCACCCATATACAGTGGTACCTTGGCTCACGAACTTAATCCGTTCCACGACTCCGGTTGTGACCCAAGTCAAATTTCCCCATAAGATTCAATGTAAATAAGGTTAATCCGTTCAGCCCCCTCCAAATGTGGTTGTGAGCCAATTTTTGGTCATGAGCCAAGTCAAATTTCCCCATAAGGTTCAATGAAAATAAGGTTAATACAGGTAACTACTTTTTTAATCAGAAAAATTTGAAACAAAGTAACAAAGTACTGTACAGTACAGTGGAGACCACTAACCTAGGTGGGGGGGGGAGGTTATTCTTTTGAGGGAGAGTCCCCCCCCATAAGGATATTGGGGAGATCTCTTTCGGGGTTTCCTCTCTTCTTTGCCTCTTAGCTACAGGGTCAATTTTGGTGAAAACTCTTGTCTATAGTCACTTGTTTTTTCATGTGCTGCATAACCCTTCGGAAATGAGAGAGCACGTTATCGTTCATCAGATTCAACACTGTTCGTTACACTTATGTTGGGGTGGTGCTTCTCAAAGAAATCCTAGCACTCATTCCATTTTCACATAATGGATTGTATCACATCACTGCTAACCTCCTCCCTGTCTTCCTTTCCTCAGTGGAATCCTCCTCAGCAAGTGCCTTCTGCTGCTCACTCTGGAGTTCAGCAAGTTCTTCTGTTGTCAGCTCCTCTATGTCTTCCCTGCACAAACACAACTGCGATTGTGGTCATCTCCCCACTTAGGGTGGGGGGGGGGGGGATGGCCATGATCGTGCTGATATGGGGGGGTGGCCGAGATTGCGCCCGTCTTTCCTGCAGGAGCGTGCCTGTGATCATGCACGTCTTTCCTGCACAAACACAACTGCGATCGTGGCCATCTCCCCACTCAGGGGGGTGGGGAGATGGCTGCAATCTTGGTTGCAACCCAATGCAGAGTTCACGACTCAAGTCAAAATTTTCATGAAATTTTTGTTCGTGACCCGATTTGGTTGTGAACCAGGGCATTCGTGAGCCGAGGCACCACTGTATTATACACATCTTATTAAACACGATCAGCAGTGTTTCTTCCCTGTGTGCATGGAGTCATTAGTATATAATGAATTTGTACTTCCCAACTGTGGCAGCCTAATTGTCCAATACTGACATACTGTCATGAGAACTGGATTTCAATCTACTTAGTGCATTACAATTGTGAAGTGATTGCCCAATACTTACTCTCATTGGGTGAATATCAGCATACGGAGGTTTCCCTTCAGCCATTTCTATAGCAGTAATGCCCAGAGACCAGATGTCTGCCAGACAATTGTATCCAATTTCTTGGATCACTTCAGGTGCCATCCAAAAAGGAGTCCCTATCACAGTGTTTCTTTTCGCCATGGTATCCTAAATACAAGCAAAAGAAGAAAAAATGAGCAAGCTAATAAACCAAAGGTGTGGTAAGAAACAGAACACTTCTACAGCTAGGTAGAATATCGTATTTTAAAGGCAGTATTAAATAACACCATCACCTCCTAATCATTCTGGTCAACACAAATGGACTAAAATTAAATATGGATATTCAAAAGAATGACGCTAACAGTCATAGAAAATCAGTCTCTCCAGAGTTGGTTCAGATCACCAAGAGAGTACTTGAAAACCATACAAAGCCACATTTGCAGCCAGAAAGTCAACTAGCACCATATGTGAGGACTGCTCACACAGGCACTGCAATGCAGGGATGGACAACTCCCATCAGTCCTCAACACTATGCTAGCAAAAGCTGGTGGGAGTTATAATACTCTAGATCAGTAATGGCGAAACTTTTAGAGAGAGAGTGCCCAAACTGCAACCCAAAACCCGTATTTATCGCAAAGTGACACTACAATAAAACCTGAAAACTGAGCTTTTAGTTTAGAAAAACAACTCACAACCAGTCCAAGCAAATATATCTATCTATCTATCTATCTATCTATCTATCTATCTATCTATATCCTTGGCAGTGCATGGACCAGCCATGGGAAAGCTCAGACAAGTCGTGGCTAATGAGCTGTGGCTCGTGACATCATCGCCCGGCACCACTACTCCTTTCCAAGCAGGCACATGGGCCCTATGTGCATTGTTATCCGATGCTCGGCTGCTAGGGCAATGCTGGGGTGACTTGGCTCGCATGCCAACAGGGAGGGCTCTGCAAGCCCGCTGTGGCATGCGTGACATAGGTTCAATACCACTGGCCTAACCTTACCCTGGTGCACACGCCTAACCCTAATATAGGGCTAAAGTACCACTGAAAAGAGGGCGACTTTGAAAAAGCTTTCCTTGAGTAGCTTGTTCTGCACAGCTCATCCTTTCTGCCCATTCTAAACACATTCCAACCATTAAAATCATGCCAGGACACCTTGTTTTTCTAACCCTAACCCAATGATGGGGAACCTTTTAGAGACCGAGTGCTCAAACTGCAACCCAAAACCCACTTATTAATGGCAAAGTGCCAACACTGCAATAAAAACGGAAAACAGCCAGTCCAAGCAAATATATATATATTGCTCAGACGAGTTGCGGCTAATGTGTCGAGGCTTGTGACGTCATCGCCTGGTACCACTTCTCCTTTCCGAGAATGCGCATGGCCCCTATGCGCTGTTATTCGATGCTTGGCTGCCAGGGCAATGCTGGGACAACTTGGCTTGCGTGCCAACAGAGAGGGCTGTGTGTGCCCGCTGTGGCACCCGTGCCATAGGCTCGCCACCACTGCTCCAGATTTTTTGACCTACAAGTAGCCCATCTCTGTTATAATGTATGCAATCATGGAAAAAGAACTGACCAAATGGCAGATCTGTGCAAATCCCTCCCGGCCTCTGCAGAAGTCCCTTTCAAGGCAGTCACACGATAAGGCTCAGCAAGTGTAAACCGAATCGCAAAAATCAATCAAAATAAATAAATATATAGGTAATTTCTGCTCACTGTAAGCTGGCCTGCTACCCCAAAATCTGCAAGTTTAGCATGTCCTTCAGTGTTGAGTAATATGTTGCCAGCTTTGATGTCACGGTGTATTTTCCTCATGAAATGCAGGTATTCAAGTCCTTTGAGTGTTGACTGTACTATTGTAGCAATTTCATCTTCCATTAACTGAAAAAGGAAAATTATTAATTAGCTGTAACAGCTTGCTGCTGCCATAAAAATATAAAAAGATCCATAAAAATATAAAAAGTCCCATAAAAATATAAAAAGTCCCATAAAAATATAAAAAGACCACCCTATTAGAAGAATGCTACAACAAACTTATTCATTGCCAATATTATTTAGACACAATGATCAGAACTCGTTATAAGAACCAGGTCATCACATTCACTTGCATTAAAAAGCAGCAGCACCTCCTTGCCTCCTCTCATGCTCAGTGGTTCCCACTCTCCCTCCAGTCCTCAGACATTTGAACTACCATTCTTCTGCTGAATCTATTGACTATGAAAGGTTAAGCCACGAGGATCTTCTACATTAGCCTTCTCCAACCTAGTGCCCTCCAGATTTGTTGGGTTGTAATTCCCAGTGTTTCCAGACAGCAACCCAATTTATCTGGAGGGCACCAAGGTGAGGATGGCTGTTCTAAAGTAACTGACGACTAATATATCCTGCTGCATCCTAGCGCACTCAATTGCAATCATGTACACACTTACTATATGGTTCCTAATATATGTGCAAATGTAATACTGCCATGCACAGCTGTATCCACCATGGAAAGGGTTACTGCATACGGATGCTGTCGCATCTCAATGACAACACAGAAAAGAAATAGAACATTTGTGCAGTTTCACATACGCATCAGGCTAACGACTAGAAAGCCAGCAAACGACATGGCATTTGGTATCAAATCTAGTATTTTTGAGATCAAAATATCCTATTACCCTTTGAAACTTTAATAGGCAGAATGTCAACCACCTATGCTAAATGACCACATACCGTTTTATTTCGCAGTCGAATAATATCAGACACAGATCCGGCACCGCAATATTCCATGACTATCCAGAGGTCCGTGTTCTTAAAATAGCTGCCATAATATTTCACTACGTGAGGACTAAGGAAAATTAAGAGAATATTTTACGGAAATGCACAAGATATACATTTTCAGGCACCATCCAATATGTGTCTTTAACCTGGAGGATTACAGGCATCCCATCAAGCTTTTCCCACTCAGCAAAGACATAAACAGATGATTTTGGCCATCTGTATCTTCTTCCCCTATTCACAAAGAAGAGGGGTTGAGGCACTGCTGGGACTCCTCCTATTGAAGGGAAGGCTCACTCTTCCACCTCAGCTCCAACGTTGCACTTGTGATTTTGAAGCCACAGTCCAAGCAGAAAGAGCCACACTGGTGGTGAGGTCACTTTGCTGTCAGAATCACAGCTTCAGAATCACTGAAAAGGCATTCCTGTACTTGGAGCTTAGATGACAATCTAGCCTATGGCCATCTAGACTGCTTGAAGCAGGTACAGGATTGTGCCCTTACACACTTCACAAAAATGCAAGCAATAAAAAGTCACGCAAATAAAACAGCTTAATCAAGTCATCTAGAAGACATTACAGAGTCACTATGCAGGACTACCTCAGAAAACTTATTTAATAATTGACCAATATACTACGATGTGCTAGTTGGAAATGGTAAATTTCATAAGTAGAGGCAACCCCCACACCCCAAATTAAGCTGAAACTTTATTTCAAAGCAATGATAATCTAAAAAGAAAACAGTGCCCCATGATATACTTTAGATAAACACAACTTGCATTTTGTGGACTGGGCCTTTGCACAAAAGTTCAGATTTAAGAACATGAAGTGTCCACAAATTCTTTCTTGCCATATTAGTTAAGACAGTATTTGTGATCACCATGGACCCCTCCCCAAGTCCTATGGCATGTGCAGAGAAGCTGGGATGCAAAAGCCCAACCCATGTTGTGTTGGGCTTTTGCAGAAGGCTCATGCAGTGTATCACTATTGTACCTACTGCAAAACCCCAGCAGAAGGGAAAGAAACCATAGTTATTTTACCAACAGAGGATGGAAAACAGAGGGCCTGTTTCTTTTGCAAGCTGGGTTTTTGTACAAAGCTTCGGTAGTGTTGCACTGCCCTAATCTCCTGCAAAATTTAGCTGGAAGAGAGAAACAGCTACTTCTTGTAGAAAAGGAAGGACCGTTTTTCTTTTTTCCTATAAGATTTGCAAACAATGGCATCAAGAAGGGATTGCTATCACTCTCTCCTTTTCTCTCCTTCGACTCAAAGAACTGTGGAGGTGGAATGGAAGGACATGTTTCCCTTTTCTTCCTACAAAAATCCAGCTTGCTGGACAGAAGCCATGGAAGGGAGAACTGTGTTTCTACCACATGTTGGATTTTTAAAAGTATGGAGCAAAATCAGAGAGGAACTCTCACCACTGATAAGTAAAAACACTGAATCCTGGCACTTACCTATCACACTGTTGCATTATGGATATCTCTTTAATAATCTCCTGCAAGTCAGACTCAACAGGAACTTGCTTAATTGCAACAACTTGGCCAGTTTCTTTGTGGATAGCTTTGAATACACTGCCATAGGACCTGAAACAACAACAGAATGATTTGAAACATCAAAGAACCAACAAAACAAGCCAAGATGCATGACTTCTATGTGGGTGTCCCCACACACTGAAGAACTTATGTAAACTTAAACCTGAAACCCGTAACTCTTTCAACATCAAGGAACATACAGCTGGAAACAATTTGCATAAAGTACCCACTTATTCACTACTTTCCCACTCTTTGATCAAATTTATTAACACACCCCTAGTTCACCTATATGAAAACTATCACCTACTGCTCTGCAGGTATCTGTAGCAAAACAAATGGAAAAACTTGGTGGATGAACCAAGCCCTGTTTGCTTCAGCAGGCTGGCCAGTGTGGTTCTCCTGCTGTGGCAGCAACAGGAGGCTCCCCACCCCAGATAATACTTTTACTGACCAATGTTCTCACCACAACTTCCCACATGCTTAATCAGCATTATAAAGCTTGGCTCTGTGGCCATTTCCTCTGCTTTGCTGAAGTGTTTTTGTACATTAATTTGGCTATGTATTCTTCATTGACTCCAAGTTTCATCCTTCCTTCATTTTGCCATCACCTCAATTTCTCCTTCAATTTGCCCTGCTTCTATAGCTAAAGCAGTACAATACATGACTGCTAGCTCACCTCCTGTGTGCTGAGAATTCAGTTATGGCAGAAGAAGCTGCTATTGCTGCTGCAATGAAAATTGCTTTAAAAGCTCTTCCTGATCACCATGATGACCAGTCTGAGCTCTTCCAGCAACTTCACATGCTATCTAGAGCTTATTCAATAGTGGGCCACACATCTACACCTCTGTGATTCAAAATCTCCCTTCAAAACCAAGTACCCTGATCAAGAAAGTTGATGGTGACAATGTCTTTCCAGAAGTTGCGTTAATAATATCCACACTGCCTCCTTACAACATGATGCCTTCTGATTCATCAATATCCATATCCAAAACTGTTCAAAGTGCAATCTATACAGAGTATTGGGGATGAATAATAGATAGGCCTGTAACAGATGTTTGTGCCTGTGCAGAAAGTTCATTTCTGTGGTTGCTGTGGCTTACAGTTCTAAAACACTATACCCAATCTCCATGAGCCTCAACACAGCAATCTATAAAGGTGTAATCAACAGCAACTTCTGTAATCCATCATCACGATGAGAAATGCCCTTGGTTTTTCATTTCCAAATGAACAGGTTGCTTACCTGTAACTGATGTTCTTCGAGTGGCCATCTGTGCAGTCACACATATGGGTTCTGCGCTTGTGCAGTGCCTTTGGCCGGAAGATTAACAGCTAACGGTTTTTGGCAGGAACTCCGCTCCCCCTCCCCCCTAGCATTATATAAGGAGCGGAGTGTCAGCCATTTTCCAGTCTTTGAAAGACCGGTGTTTGTTGTATAATAAAAAAGGTTTGTCAGAATGACAAGAAATCCAAATTCAGTAGTGGTACGACACATAGGAAAAAAGATATCATAGTATCACAGAAAATAGTCGGACCACCCATGACACCAAGCGGGGTCGGAGGGTGGGTTGTGTGACTGCACAGAGGCCACGATGAAGAAGAACAGGTTGCTTACCTGTAACTGATGTTCTTCAAGTGGCCATCTGTGCAGTCACACATATGGGTAGAATAGCAAGCTTACCCGAAATGGAGGAGGGAGGTGTCATCAACAAAGGACAGAAGAAAGAACAGCTCTGCCAAAAGAGCAATCCTGTCTGGCACGGACATCGAGTCTATAATGTCTGGCGAAGGTACACAGAGTAGCCCAAATGGCTGCTCTGCACACGTCTTCTATCGGGACTCCTGATGCAAAGGCCGAAGAAGCAGCAACAGCTCTTGCAGAATGGCCTCTTGGAGTAGATGGTAAGTCCAACTTAGCCAACTGATAAGATAGGACAATTGTATTTACTATCCATTTCGAAAGACGTTGTGAGGTGACTGGGCAACCCAGATCATGTTCTGAATATTTCACAAAAAGTCTATTGGAACGCCGAACAGACTCAGTCCTGGACCTATAAAAAGCTAAGCAACGACGAACGTCCAGCATATGTAGAGATCGTTCTATCGGATTCGAAGGGGTCGGAAAGAATGCCGGTAAAACAATCTCCTGTTGCATTTGAAACGAAGTAGCGACCTTTGGAAGTAAAGACGGATCCATTTGAAGAACCACCTTTTCCTTAGGAAAATTTAGGAAAGGGGGGTCTACCCGAAGGGCGCAGAGTTCAGATGATCTACGGGCTGAAGTTACTGCAACAAGGAAGGCCGTCTTCCATGAAGCAAGGTGTAGATCGATCGTTGCCATGGGTTCGAAAGGTGGTCGAGTCAGTGCTTGTAAAACCACCGAAAGACTCCAGGTGGGCATTAGAGGTCTTATAGTTGAATGTAGATTACTCAATCCTCTTAAAAATCTTTTAATCAGAGGTTGAGCCAAGATGGAGAGGCCATGTATAGTTCCCCGATAATGCAAAATCGCTGTATAAACCTTTATGGATGAGGGTTTGAGTCCAGACTGATGCAATTCAAAGAGAAACTGAAGTATCTGTGAAACAGAAGCTGAAGGGGCCAGAAAAGAGTGTAAATTGGCAAAGTTAGAGAATTTCTGCCATTTTGCCGCGTACGACTTCCTAGTAGATGGTCGTAGCGCAGATTCGAGGATATACTGTAGGTCTGGGTGTAGACTCTGCTGAGCAGGAATAGTTGGAACAGTTTGTGGTGTCAATACCGTTGTACTAGAGGCGATCATTGTATCCTCCATGCAGTCAGTTTCAGCGATAGCAAACCTGGGTGACGGATTGCGCCCTCCCTCTGGATAATGAGATATGGAAGAAGAGGGAGTTGGAGAAACTCTTCTCTGGAGACGTGAAGGAGAGTTGAGAACCATGGTTGGCGAGGCCACCAGGGGGTGATCAGTACCCCTGTGGCCCCTTCGTGAATGATCTTTGCCAACACTCTCATGATGAGTGGGATCGGAGGGAAAGCATAAAAAGTCATGTTTGTCCAGGGAATCATGAAAGCGTCCCCGAGGGAGTCCTGACCCACTCCCACTCTGGAACAATATGCCGTGCATGTCCTGTTCCGTTGCGTGGCAAACAGATTGATGTCTGGCTGGCCCCATAGGTGAAATAGCATGTTGCGAACCGGATGGTCTAGCTCCCATTCGTGGGACCGCGACATATGTCTGCTCAAGAGATCGGCATCTGTATTTTCCGTGCCTGCAAGGTGCACTCCCACAAGGGTGATACCTCTCGGTATGCACCAGTCCCAAATCTGCATGGCCAGGCAGGCTAGTTTCCAGGATTGGGTTCCCCCTTGTTTGTTTAAATAAAAGACTGTCACCATGTTGTTCGAGGTCACCTGGACGACCTGGTGCAGAAGCACATCCTCGAATGATTGAAGGGCTTTGAAAACGGCAAGAAGTTCCAGAAAATTGATATGGTTCCTGCAATCCCGCTGACTCCATATCCCTTGGTTACATAAATCGGAACAGATTGCTCCCCATCCCAGTAGAGACGCATCAGTACCGAGGGTTATTGTAGGGTACCAAGGTCGGAATGGAACGCCTATGGTTAGATTGGCTGGGTCTATCCACCATAACAGGGACTGAAGAACGGAAGCCGGGGGTCGAATCCGTTTGGTAGGGGGGTCTATCTGTGGTCGAAACACCCCATTGAAGAACAGTTGAAGGGGACGTAGCCTGAGTTTGGCATGTGGAACTACAGCAATGGAAGCAGACATGTGACCCAACAGACTCTGAATAGACCGGGCGGGAGCAGTTCTTGTTTGTTGAATCCGAGCGATGCAATGAGCAATCACATGTCGTCTGTCCCGAGGAAGGAAGGCTCTTGCCAACGTCGAATCCAGTCGGGCTCCGATAAAGTTGATCACCTGCGTAGGGAGAAGGGAAGATTTCCGTTGATTAATACAGAGTCCGAGATCGTGCATGTAAACTCAACAGCAGATGAAAGTCCTGCTTCTGTGTCGGCAACCAGCAACCAATCATCAAGGTATGGGTATATCCGAATTCCACGTAATCGAAGGTGTGCACAGACAGGGGCCATACATTTCGTAAAAACTCTTGGTGCAATGGCCAATCCAAACGGTAGCACATTGAATTCGTAGATTTCAGAGTCCACCGCAAAACGAAGGAAACGCCTATAACTTGGATGTATTGAAATATGAAAATACGCATCCTTCCGATCCAATGAGGTGAACCAATCCCCTCTTCCCAGCAACGGAAGAATACTTTGAAGTGTAGTCATCCGAAACTTCTTTGGTGTTATAAATCTATTGAGAGCTCTCAAGTCCAGTATTGGTCTTAGACCCCCATCTCGTTTCGGAACCGTAAAGTATCTGGAATAGAATCCGTGGAATCCTTCCGTTAACGACAGGCGACAAATAGCTCCTTTAGCGAGGAGTTGGTGCATCTCGTCTAACAGTACCAAAGAAGTCGGAGTATATCGAATAGGATTCGCTGATGGTACAACGTCAAATTCAATTCCATATCCGTGCTGGATGATAGATAACACCCATCCATCAGATGTGATGGACTCCCAAATGGAGAGTCGACTCTTCAGTCGATCCCCAAATGAGAGGGGGGAGGGGGGAGTTGGAATGAGAGGAGAGGTTCGCTCGTCACATCAGCGCTGTCGCCTGTCTGTATCGAAATGGCGGTGGCCCTGTTGGAAGCGCTGTGGCGGTTGTTGTCTGCGACGCTGCTGACATTGATGTGGTTGCTGCTGCCGAGGCGGAAACTGTTGACGGTACTGTGGATGTGACCATGACCACTTACGTCGGGGTAGAGATTGCAATTCCATACGACAGGCAGCCATCCTTGATTCATGGATTTTCTTCAATTTGCTGTCTGTCCTTGCATGGAAGAGATCGGAACTGTCGAACGGCATCTCTTCAATTCTCTGCTTCATCTCATCTGGAAAATTGCAATTACGCAACCAGGCGTGCCTGCAGAGGGAAACTGCACCGACCAGCGACCTCGAATCAGAGTCCACGTGGTGCCTCGTGGTAGAAAGCTGTTGCACCGCCACTTGCACAGCTTCCTTAACAAAAGTCTTAGCAAGTTCGCCCTGGTTTCCCGGAAGAGTATCGATGATGGCGTCCAGGCGTTGCATCAGGAAATATTGGTAACGCGCCAGGGTTGCCTCGTAATTGGAGATTCTTAAACCAAGGCCCGAAGCTGCATATACCCGGCAGGCGAGAGAATCAACTTTTCTACCCTCTTTGTCACGAGGTGAGGTGTGTCCACGGGCTTCCCGACCCTGAGAGGATTCTACAACAACCGAATTCGGCTTGGGGTGGCAGAGAAGAAATGGGATGTCCTCTTCCCGCACCCGATACATGGACTCGTATTTACGAGAGGTCGGTTGTGGATTAGCTGGGAGGTCCCATGGCTGGGTCATTGCCTGCCGTAAGGTTGTAATAAACAGCAAGGCAATAGATGTGGATCGTTCACCTCTAACCACATCATAAAAACGATCAGTGCTCGGTCCCGGCTGTTGGTGGGCTTCTTTATCGAGCGATCTCACTAGTCTGGCCATCAGATCGTTAAACGATATGTACGGTTCCTCAGGTGACCCCGGACCCTGGGAAGCAACTACAGCATCCGGCGAGGTTGAGTCAGCCTCAGACTCTTCGGATTCCATCCAGTAGGGGGGTGGTACACTGGAGGAAGAATCTCCTGGAGACTCCGATCTGCCACTCTCTCTAGATGGTGCTCTTGGGGCGTCTCTGGGCGTTGAATGGAAACGCTGCCGAGGCGCTGATGGTGAAGATTGTCCCCTAGAGATTGGATAGTAGGCTGTAGAGTGGTACTCTTCCCGTCTCAGAGCAGAGGAGTACCTGGAGTGGTACCAATCATCAGACCTCGCATCCGAGGAACGGCTTCTATGGCTTCTTGGAGGGGAGATGGCGATCTCAGTATCCATCGGGATCGGAGGCATCGGGGTTGGTGATCGAGCCCTAGGTGGGGAGTCTTGTATTTCCCCATCAGAGATAGAACCCCTCCTCAAATCCATAATGGGTTCGGCTGCCGGCCGGCGCGGTGAGCCCGGTGGGGTTACTCTCATAGCCGCCTGGATGGTCGGGACCGAGGGAATCGGTTCCGAAGTAGGTATTGGAATCAAGGAAGAGGCCGAGCCCAAGTGACGGTGTTTTGCCTGCTCGGGGTTCTTCGGCTTCTTAACCGGCTTGCCCGTCTTATCTTTCTTGGCCTTCTTATGCACAGGGTATTTATCTGAGTCGCTGTGCTTTCTCTTTTCCTTTTGCTTTTCAGCAAGGAAACAGACTGATCGGCCATAGCATGAGCACCTTCTTCAGAAGGGCGTGAGGGTGGAGCAATGGAGGAAGAGGCCGGACGTTGCGACAGGTCAGCCGAAGCTGGACGGCCTTCGGGTGGGGCCACTACAGTGGAAAGCTTAGCCACCAGCCGATCAGATTGGAGGAGAGCCTGATCCCAAAGGAGTTTGCAGAGGCGGTTCTCCCTGTTCTTCCTCGCCTGTTTAGAGAAGACCAAACAATGGCCGCACTTATTGGTTCTGTGCCCTTCCCCCAAACAAAGGAGGCACAGATCATGCGGGTCCGCGGCGGGCATTTTGGAACCGCATTTTCCGCACTTATGGAACGCCGCCCGTTGCGCCATCGTAGAAAAAAGAAAAAAGGAGATAGTAAAGCGGGAAAGTAATATTTTTGGTTTTTTTTAATAGGAACGATAAAGAAGAAAAAATGGTGCAAAGTTAAAGAAATATAAGTGAAATACTAACAGCGAGAACATGGGATATAAACTTGGTAAGAGAAAGAGAGAGATTTTCGGACGAACAAGAAGGTAAGTAACAATCTGAGCGAGAGCGAAGCGGCACTAGGCACAACGAACGGCGGTCGCAAAGACTGGAAAATGGCGGACACTCCGCTCCTCATATAATGCTAGGGGGGAGGGGAAGCGGAGTTCCCGCCAAAAACCGTTAGCTGTTAATCTTCCGGCCAAAGGCACTGTGCAGGCGCAGAACCCATATGTGTGCTGCACAGGGGCCACGACGAAGAACTAATTTTACACCACCAACTATGGTATAATTTGAAAGCAAATGCTTATTGAATTGGAAAAAACAGCAATATATTAAAAGTCTGCTTTAACACAGTCTTCCAACTTGCTGAGATGACTATGGGGCCACAACCATAAAGCAGCTCATCAAAAATATGAAAATCAAATTAGAAATGAAATTTAGAAGCATGTTTGGAACAATTTTGGCATCTTTCTCATCTAGCACTTATCCATCTATTGCCAGCATATTATCAAGCTTATCTACAGAATTATAAGAATGAGAAATGTAAAGGGAGGTGAGAGATGGAAAAGATTAAGTGTTGCCCCATCTTTGTAATTTGATTTTAAAATACTGTTTCGGCATAAACAGCAGCACCTTCAAAGTAACAGCAAAAATAAATCTTTGGATTGTAATGATAATCACCCGCACTAATGGCACCTGAAACAATTTACAGAGAGCAATTCAGACCTACAACAAAGCCCTGTGCATGTAGTTATAGACAGTAAAAGTAGAATTTTGTTTCCCAAAGTTAACAATGGCACAGCTCTATGCTTATTTTTACTTTACTTCACTGGATTTTGAACTATATGACCAGCTATTTTACCTCCTACAAGAAGCATCCAGCAAATTTCTGCTTTCCTGCTTAATGCATTCATTACATTGTGAAAGCATTTCATGTTTGGTTGGGGTTTTTGTTGTTGTTTGGGGTTTTTTTTGGGGGGGGGTAATATACTTACCCTTCTCCAAGTTTTTCTAGCACATCGAACACTTCTTCAGGTTGTTTCGTCAAGCTATCTTCATCTAACTTCCTTAGCTGCCTGAAACCAAAGATAGAACATTTGAGCTATGCTGTGCAGATTTCACAGAGAACACAAGCCAGGAAATGATGAAATATAAAGCTAATTTCAGCTTTAAGCACTAAGAGTACAGTATTTCCTCTTGTTTGAAAGAGAAGTCAACAGCTAGATCACCTTTCCCAGGTAGCAAGGAATATTAATAAAATTCATATTTGAGTCTCTCTCTCCCTCTCTCCCCACACACACACAGACCCACACACACAACCACTAAGCAAAAGCAGGGCAACAGTTTGGAAAGTCAAAATACTATGCAAGAATTTTAGAAGCTAACTTCACATTAGACTGGTTCACATAATCACTGAAGCTTAAACAAACCACAGTGACTTAAGCTGCAGTGGACTGTAGGCCCAATTTGCTAATTATCTGCTTGGGTGGGTCAGCGAGAGCCTGGAGGAAGGCTTGTCTGAGGGAAAAACAACCCCCAAATAGATCATGTGTTATTTGAAGGTCGCTTCTCCGTCAACCTAGCTATGTCATCTGAAGCCAAACAGCAAACTGTGCCTAGGTGCGTAATGAAGCAAAAGCACACACCATGGCTTAAACCCCACCATGCTTAAGCCATGGTGCTTGTATAAACCAGGCCACTGGTTAGGTTCACAGAGGACATCAACATATACCCGAGGTTGAGTATGGGATGGCTTGAATGTGAGTTGTACCTGAGCCATGGGCTATTATTGAACTATGGACTGGTTTCTGTGTGAACCCAACCACACAACCCACACTCAACCTTGAGAACAGGCTGCTGTGTTCTGTGAACCCAGCCATAAAAACTGAATTCATATTTCAGTCTCAGCCACTCACTTGGGAAAAAACCCTGACATTTAAAGCATAAAATTTAGTTTAAAAAGAAAGGAATTATATTCTAATTACAAAGCCCAAGTTATAAATTGAGTTTAACCCACCCTTGAACAAAACACCTATATAGCAACTTCAGCAAAGTCATTTGTAAGTACTGTTATACTGAAACAATGCACATATATATGCATTGTACATGTTTCCTTCTCTTGGCTTCATTGTGCAACTGAACCAAGTTAAACGATTGGCAACCAACAAGCCAGTGTCCCTACCCTACTCAAACTTGTTGCATGTTATTATAAACTAGGGCTTTGTGACAGTAAAATTTAAGCATACTTATATTTAACAGACTCATCTCATTGTTGGAAAGTGTTTATAAAATGTGAAAGCAAACACTGAACCGTGATGAGCAGTGATAACATAACTGAAATACTGATTAGCTGGTCTGCAATAATGAGTAACTCAAACAGATTCAAGAATAAGTAAAAAAAAAGCAGTTTTCTTGAATGTTGTCATAAATACATAGGAAACACGGTCAGTATACATGCTACTGGATGGCAAGGGGAATAAAAAAGAAAAGTACTTCTCTGTACACCACAAAGGAACAAAGGAAGCAGGCTTTTTTTGTTCATGCAATGCTCCAGAAAAAAACCGAGACAAAAAGTATCTGCACATCTTCATTAGCTCTTCTAACCCAACAGGAACTTGAGTGGCTGAAGGGGTTGGTTTCATGACCAGAGTTATTCACTTGTAGACTGCAGTGTAATGGCAGACGGCTAGCAACTGATTAAACTGGTCCCCTCAGACAAACAATGAGTATCTTCGTACCCTGGAATTAAAGCTGGAAGATACTGAATTATTATTACACTGCATTTATATCCTGCTTTTTTGACCCTTGTGAGAGACCCAAGGGGATTTACATAGTTCTCCTCCAAATCCATTTATATCCTTACAACAACCACCTTGTCAGACAGGTTAGGCCGAGAGTCTGTAAATGGCCCAAACTTACCCAGTCAGCTTCATGGTTAAGTGAGAACTAGAACCAGGATCTCCCAGGTCTCCTGTCCAACAACTAACCACCACTCTGCGGCTCTCCATCACATACACTTCACCATGCACTATCAGTGTCTATCACCAGCTATCATATTATGCAGCAAAAGCATTACACATCCTAAAGTTTTTCTAGTTTAAAAATAACTATAGTATATACAAATGTAAAACACATCTTGCCACTTGACATTTGTCTCTTTGGGGACTCATTTGTTTTGAATGAGCCTTTGAGTCATTTTTCCTCACAATGGTCTAAAATGACTTCCTTAAAAATGTCAAACCAGAAATAAATTAAAATGCCAAATTTAACCCTGCATTAGAACAGTGCTCTTAAACATATTGCTGGGACAAACTTCACAGAACTGTGCTTCAGCTAATGGGAAGGGAGAGGACAAATGCTCAGCTATATTTAGTTCTACTTCCACAGCTGTACACCTGGTAGTGCTTTCTGCAGAAACAGCTTTCTTCCAGAGTACATAAAGCAGAACTGGAGAACTTCAAACCCAGCAACCAAAGCTGGCCCAGCTTGGGACTCCGTACAGCCCTCTGGGGTCCCCCAGACAGTGATGCCCCACCTGCTAATAGGTGGTTTCCTGCTTGATGTACAGTTTGCCTCCAATTCTAAAAGCTCTTAATACCTCTCTTAAGGCCTAGATGCTGGCAGTAACAAATGTAAATTAAGACGTGAAATATTTAGCCCCACTCCCCCTGGACACATCCAGCACTTAAATGCAGCTTCCAGGAGCTTTTTAAAATGAAGTTCACCCCTCTCTCAAAGGGGTTCAGTACCCCTGGTGTAAAGGATGATAATGAAGGGAAAGATGTCCAAAAAGCTTAAGCCATAACAACTTTGTTAGCTTAGAGATGTCATAATGCTTTTGTTTACGTGAGGGGTTGCCACACAGATGTGGGTAGAGACCTGTTTTCCCCTGTGGAAGAGGGCAAGAAACATTCCAATGGAGCAAAGCTCAGGGAGACAAGGTTCAATTTGGATGCCAGGAAGTACTTCCTGACAGTTAGGACCCCAAGGGTATGGAATGGGCTTCCACTGGAGGTGTTTGCAGCCCCATCGGAGAGGGTGTTCAAGGACAGGCTGGGCATGCACATGGCCAGGGAGGACCCTTCTAACGCACTCTGTTTCTATGTTACTAGGATACAGTTTTCAGCTCAAAATTGCATACCAAAATTTGTACTTTAGATTAAGCTGTATGTTTAAGAGTCAGGTGCATATATGTATATTCAAACATAACACACTCTTCTGCAGTTTTTAACTTGCAGATTGATTGCAGAAATGGGGTGAAATAGATCTATAAACTCTATTTCTACGTTTGTTCATTCAGAGCAGTATTGCTACTAAAAGCCTAGTAAAGGTTTGGGGGCAATATAAGAAACAATGTAGGTTTATTTGATTTAGGAGCATGCAACTAGGGTGACAGAAGTGCGCTCTCCCCCCCTCCCCAAAATGCAACACACAAGGTGAGGAGACTTTTTTGCATAGAATGGGCTGTTGAGAAAGACACCTTCAATCCACAAAAGATCCAATCCACCAGGTTCTGAAAGTTTGACCTAAACTTTTATCTCTGATTCAATTATTTTTACACCCAAAGCTAAGCCATTGCTTTTTGTTTCAGTAAGCTGACTGTGCAATTCACAAGCACCCTCGGCCAAGCATACAATAAGCCTTTGGAATACTCAAAAATATTACTTGACCATTTAAACTCATGTAAAGAGGAAGAGACTAGGCTTTTTTTAAGTTTTGCTATCCAAAATTCTTACATCCTTCTTCATCTCTAGACTCCCTTACTCACTTCTGCTTACTACCCTGATAAATTAGCAAATAGAGATCAACACTTCCTATTTGGGCCTAACGCATTTCCTACACAGAGCAAAAGGCATGAATTTGTGACTGCTGTGCATTATTTATTCTTATGTTAGAAACACTTTTTTTGTAGGAAATAGTTTGCATTTAAGCAAGATCTTATTCATTTATTTGCTGTGTACTTTTCCGTTCTACTAAAAAATGGCTCTCAAGGCAAATAGTATATTCTGCTTACTGAAGGCCTATTACCTTACTGCCCATCCCTTTGGCCTTCAACTGGAGAATGACCCATAAATCAAAAGATGAGCACATGTTTGCATGCACAAGTTCCCATAGTCAACCCATGGAATTTCAACTGCTGGGGACAGATTCCTGCTTAAGAGTTTGAAGAGCTTCTACCACAGCAATCACTTCAAGAAAGTGGTACTAGTCAACAAGCTGACATGACAGTTGCCTATAAATGGAATTAAGGTTTGTTACTCCCGTCACTCTCTGCCCCCTGGGAGAAAAAAACAAAGCTCCAGAAGAGCCAAATTTAGCTAGCAAATGTGCTAAATCTGACCTTTTTGGTGCTTCATAGCACTACTGACAGCAACCCCCCCACCACAGCTCAAATTTTAAGGTTACCCAGAAGACCATGCAGTGGCAGGTTTGGGAAGCAAAAATAGTCAAACTCCCAGAATTGCCCATCCCAAGCACTAATCGAGTCACCTTTTATTTTTGGCTTTAGGTTTTTAAAAACATGCATCAGAAAATCAGGTTCATATATGCAACAATAATTATTATATGATGATCATATATAGAGGTCGACGTTAAAGAACAGAACCAGGTCTTGAGTCAGGAAACACTGTAAACCATTCCCATTCAGAAACTAGCACCAAATCACTAACGTGATCACACTTCCAGCTATTTAACCAAACCAGCAGTTAGTTTTAAGAAAAAAGAATCATAAAAGCGCCACAAAAGGAAGCAAGCTACTCCGATTATCCCCTTCAGAAGCTAAGATTCCACTTCAGAGAAGTAACTTCCAAAAGACCCCTCCCCCCGCCAAAGAAAGAAGAAAACCCCTCGGTTCTACTCCTTTATTTTTGCACAGCAGCAACAACACTACCGTGTGCGTGGGAACCCTGAACAGCAAACACGGGCAGAGCAATGACACGAGCGCGTTCTCCAGCTAAGAGGGGGAAGGCCCTAAGAGGAAGAAAGAATAAGTACACCCATGTCGCCATCCCCTGCCACCCCGACGACTCGAGCGCATTTGTACCACCGCCCTAATCACGCCACCAAGCACGGCCCCCAAACTCCGGCTCCTTACCGGCGCGGATGGCGCAGCTGCACCGTCTCCATAGCCTCAAGAGGAAGAGCCGGCAGGAGAAGGGGCAGGTCGGCGCACGCCCCACCGCTCAAGGGCGCGCCATCCCCGCCCGCGCCGCTCGCCTTCTGCTCCACCAGCCCTGAGCAAGGCGCCGGCCCCGCCTCCCCAGCACCACGGGCACTTCCGCCTCGCGCGCCCGCAGCTCTCGCGGGCCCCGCCCCCGGGCTGGCAGCCAGGCGCCGCGGCGGGGGGGGAAGGAGAGCGCGAGGCGGCCCACGTGGCCTCGCGGCTCTTGGCAGTAACTCCGCCGGTGTTTTGGGTGGGCGTGGCGAGGCCCCGGACTCTTCTCAGATGCCGCACTACATCCGTTCGCATCTAAGGCGCGAGCGCATACTTGTTTCGACCGGTGTTGGGGGAGGAAGTCCTTGCACCTCTCAGCGTGATTGGCTGGGGCGTCGTAGGAGTTACGGACTTTTTTTTCTGTCTGCGCAGGCATAAGATTGCTCCCCATAACGCACGCGGGGAGGTGCGCGCGCGCGCGCGCGCGCTTCTTTTTAAGCAGCGGGGAGATTTTGCTGCCTGAGGCTCAACAGCAAAGGGCAGCCTTGGTTCCTTTTCCAAGTGTATAGGTAGTGCCACGGATTAGGCTATTGGTTTTGGCACCTGAAGGGAAGGGAGGTACGAGTGGGGGTGGGCACAGGCACGTCTATCCCCAAAGGCAATAATCCTGTATTTTATTTAAATATTTATATACCGCCTATCTCACCACTGGCATCTCTAGGTGGCTCTTACCTAGGAAATGTTTCATTTAGTTCAATAGGACTTCTGACTAGTCATGTTTAAGGTCGCCATGAAAGACTATAATCATTTGCACAAGTAAGCCATATTTATTACTTAGATTAATTATCTATATCCCACTTTTTTTCTTACAAAGAATCCAAAGCAGTTCACATAATTCTGATGCTTTCAATCTTATCCCCACAACAACCCTGTGAGGTAGACTGGGCTGAGAGTGTGACTGGCCCAAAATCACCCAATTGGCTCCGTGGCAGAGCAGGGACTAGAACCAGATAGCCTGAGTCGCAATCTGTGCTTTTAACTACCACACCACACTTACCCCACATTTCCTCCAAGGAGCTAAAGCTGCATACAGGGTCTTATCCTCCCTTTGTTTTCTTAACAAGCTGTGATTTACACTGAGCTGAAAGAAAGCAATAGTGACCCATGTTCACCCAGCAAGCTTCAAGGATGAGTGGATATATGAACCTGCATGTGCCCTATCCTAGTCCACTATTGTAACCACTTCTAATAGAACTCCAAGTAAGCAAGCATAGGATTGCACTGCATGATTACAGTCCGATCTACATTTACACTTGGAACTAAGCCCCACTGAACTGGTAGGGGGCAGATATACTTCTCAGTATATGTCCATAGCATTCTGCAGTAAAACTGCAGCTTAAAACATTTTCTAAGGCATACATTTCTACCTCAACATATTTAGGATTGTACTGTATGGTGGCAACCCTAAAGCCACTTTCTAGGGGAAAAAAGTGCATTGAACTTAGTGAAAAATATTTCTCAGTAAACATGCAAAGGATTGCAGCTGGCTTAATAGCCGTACTGTGAAATAATTTTTCATAGAATAGACTGAGCCTAATGAAGGAACTAGAAAAGATCATCAAGTGTAAGGGTGTTTCACTGGAGACCAAGGTCAAGATCATGCACATTTTCTTGAACATTATGTACAGGTGTGAAAGCTGGACAGGGAAAAAAGCTGGATGAGAGCTTTGCAAATAGCCTGGATTAACAGACAATCTTACCATGGAAGCAGAAATGATGAAAGTGAGGCTGACATGTTTCAGGCACATTATGAGAAGACAAGACTCACTGGAGAAGAAAATAATGCTAGGGAAAGTCAAAGGCAGAAGAAGTGAAAGACCACATATGAGAGATCAATTCCATAATGGAAGTCACAGCTGAGCAGGGCCGTCCAGTACAGCACATTCTGGAGGGCATTAATTCATAGGGTTACTATAAATTGGAGATGACTTGATGGCATTTAAGAACACTGAGCTTAACAAGGCTCTATCCAGTAGGACAGCTTTCTTAGTCTGACAGCAACTCTTAGAGTCTTTTGTCACTTTAAAGGCAAGCTACTCGGCTCAAATAGTCTTTTGGTACTTTAATGGTGGCATAAAGCTTGAGCCACCACAAACATTAGACATTAAGGTGTCTCAAGACCATAAAATATTAACATGGCCACCCCATAGAAGTTCTTACCTGGCACTCTGGTCAGTTTGAAAGCTACATCCTGAGTGGGAAAGCCTGTTTTAGCCTGGATGTGTAAATAGGTTCTTTGCATATTCTGCACAGACTAGAGCCTGTGTCATTATGAACCTAATGCAGGTACTGAGTGGCATTAAAATGAAATGAAATCAATAAATAATGAAGTGATCTGTTGTCAACAAAGGTTATTCACAATTGACCTGCTAATCTTTAATGTGCTTAAGACTGTTGTTAGAAAACTATTTCATCCCAATTTTTTTTAAATGCCTTGTGTTTCAGGGTGCTTTCACATGCATCTTTTTATTCTTTCACATAAGGGGATCAGACTTTCTCATCATCAGTTTGCTTTTGGTTTTTACATTTTTTTCTTACCAGGAAAAAAAAAAACATTAAAGAGGGAAAGACACAAAAGTTGGACAATGCCTTTTGATTCTAAGTGCTGGTAGAGCCCTCTGTGCGATTGCAATAGTATTCTTTTGCTCGTGTCCTTCAATACCTGGCATTCATCAGCATATTGCCTCTAGTACTGGAGGCTGTATATAGCCATCATTCCTAGGAGCTGTTGGTGATTTGGTCTGATCCCCTCCTAAAGCTACCCAAATTAGTGGTCATCACTACCTTTTGTGGCAGTGAATTCCCTTCTGTGCTGTGTGAAATGCTTGCTTTCATCTGTCCTGAATCTCCCACCAATAAACTTCATAGGATGAGCCCAAGTATTATATCTTCTAGTATTTTAAGAAAGGGAAAAATGTCTTCCTATCCACTTTCTCCACAGCACACATAATTTTGTACCCCTCTATTATGTCTCCCCTTACTCCCCCCACTTTTTTTTAAATAGTCCCAGCTATTGTAACCTTTCCTCATAAGGAAGTTGCTCCAGTCCCTTGATCATTTTTGTTGCCTATTTCTGGACCTTTTCCAGTCCTACCATATTATCTTTCAGATGTAACCAAAACTTTTTTGTTCTTTACTTTTTAGAGATTGTAACACATATGAATGTAAAATTTAGGAATAAGCAACTTGAGGTTCCAGGGCCAAATCATACACTTGAGAAGTATCAGTTCCCACCCAGTCCAGCGGCAAGAGAAGTTTGTGGTGGCTGGGGCAATTAAATATACTAGTGATCCACTTTAGAGGTTGTTGTGGGGAGCCTACTTTCTCACCTGAGTTGTCCTCAAAGCAGCCCTTTCTTAAAACTACTAAGCAGGTAGGGTGTGATGTTTCTCAAGAAAGGCTCAAATTTATCTACCCCCACCCCAAAGTAACTCAGCTGCCAATTCTAAACACATTTATTTATGATGCAGTTATGTGCATGTTTAGACAGAAAAATGTCTTATCCAGAATTCTGAAACGCGGAGAGTGTGTGTAAATGAGTAAGGATTCTGCTTTTCAGTACAAATGGTTATTGGAGTGGCTCTCAAATAATAAAATAAAGCCCCTGCCTACGGCTTACACAGTGCACAAGGAAAAGCAACAAAGAAGGAAAAGGTAAATTGGGTAGTAAAACAGTTCCCCAGGAATTCCATTGAACTCAATGAATGGGCAGTATTATACTGCAAGTTCAATTGGATTTACTCTCAAATTAAGTGTGCATATGATCAAAGCCATTTTCTCATGAGAAGCTAAATTCCACTTAATTAAAATGATGGATAGTTGCTCACATGGATATTTGCATAAGAATCCCTGCCTTTGCCTCATGTGAAAATGCCATGATTCCTATCTTAGGCGCCCATCCTATATACAGCTACCTGGGAGTGGAATAAGCCCCAATGAAATCAATGAAACATACTTCTGCACAGTTACAGAGACACCCAATGGGTTTATTACGTATTTACAACAATTATAAATGCAGGAGCAATTAATAAAAAGCAATTATAATGCAGGAGCAATTAATAAAAAGATAAAAAGGATAAACCAGTATGTTAGCACAAAATTAGTAAAAACCGTGGCTGGTTGACCAGGGAAGTCTTCCTGGAATATCGATGCTTTCAGAAGGTGCCAAAAACGCAATCAGTCCTAATGTTCGTGCCTGCCTGACCTCTACCAGGTAGGAAACAGAACCTACACAGAAAGCTCTTCTCCGGGCGGACACAAATCAGTCGCATCACCCCGAGTTGTACGTACATGACTGCAAGCCCGGCTCTGTAACCGCCACCGAAGCCTCACTGGGAAAACATGCCGGCAACAGCGCCTTACAAGTCTTTTGCACGAACGTCAAGGGGAGCGTGGGGAAGAAGCGGAAGACGAAACGTGCTTTCCGCATGAGGTAAGGAGGCGCTCGCAAGCCAGTCCCGCGTACGGGTACGCCTGTCCCTGGCAGCAAGCGCCCAGGTCGGCTCGCACGAGCGCGGGCGGCGCGGCACCCGGCCAGGCTCCGCGCACGAGGCTGCGGCGTTGGGTCTCCGCGCGAACGGGCGGCGCCGAAAGAGAGAGGAGGAGCCCGGCCGGCGCGGGCCGCCCCTGATTGGGCCGCGCACGGAGGAAGGAAGCGGCTCCGCGGCTTCTATTCCGGCGGCCGGCACCGGCTCGGGTGCTTTCGGGCGCTGCCGACCTCATGGCCCCCGCGTCGCGGATCGCGGACCTCAAGCAAGCCGGGAACGAGCAGTTCCGCAACGGGCAGTACGGCCAGGCGGCCGCGCTCTACGGCCGGGCGCTGCAGTTGCTGGAGGCGGCAGGTACTGGCGGCGGCGGCCGAACCTCCGAGAAGGCCTCGGGATCCCGGGAAAGGCGAGGAAGGGTCTTGCGCGGGGGCTGGGACGGATATCTCGGCGGCCCAAGGCACAGGTCGTCGGATAACGTGGTTCCTGGCCGCTGATCGAGTGCAGCGCCTGGGCTGTCGTTCTTAGTTATGTACTATATCCCGCCTTTTTTCCTTCAATGGACCCGAGGCGGCTTACATAATCCTCTTCCTCTTCTCGGTCTCATGCTCACAACTACCCTGTGACGTAGGTTAGTCAGGCTGGCCCAAAGTCACCCAGTGAGCTTTGTGGCTGGGAACAAGAAGCTGGACCTTACAGATGCCTACCTAACGCTCAGACTGCTGCACTGCACTGGCTCTATTTATCCCTTTCCACAGATTACTTCTGTGGGACGTTTAGGTTTCTATTCTTGCATACAAATATGTTGACAAATTAGGCAAATTTTGTAATTGAATGTTGCAAAATCCCTCCCTTCCAGGCCGTTTCTTCTCTCAAAGCATGTTTCATTATTGGGCCATTTCATGTGTATATTATTTTAAATTTGTATAGTCATTAAAGGCCTTTATGGTAATAGCTTTGAAAATGACTGTTAACTGACTAATCCCATCTTACAGATGAGTGTAACTGAGGCTAAGAAAGCCCCAGTGAGAGTGGCAGCATCTGGGGGTATCAAGGGTTGTGTGTATGTGAAGCTTTCCTAGCACCTTCAGTTAAAGTTTATTTGCTAAGGCTAGGCAAAACTTTGAGAAAATCTTATCAATTGTGGTAAGTTTTGAACTGAATAGATTATTGGTCAGGCCTGGTTCTATATCCCAGCTCAGGTTTCCCAGAGCAGGAATAGGATGTGCTCACACTAACCTGGTGCTTTTAATCCTCCCTAATGGAAGTTCTTTCATACTGTCAAAGAACAAATATATATGGTAGGGTCATATCCTGACTTGAGGAGCCTAAAGTGCAAATGTGCAAATAGAGGCCACAGTGATGCCTATAAGATTCCATAGATAGGGTATACAAAATATTTTAAAATAGTACCTGATGGCAGAATATAAAAGCTCCATCCCATTAGCTGGTTTGGGGTGCTCTGGGCTTTTTTACCAGCTTCTTAGGCAGAGCAGAAGTGCTTTATGGTCCTCTGGATTTACATGGAACAGCATTCTTCATCATGCTACATATTCCTGGAATTGGAAGCCCATGGACTACCTGCACCAAATGTGGCAGTTTTCAGTGATCATACAAGCAGAAGATGTTTAAGTCTTCATAATGTTGCTTGCTGTTAACGTTACTGGTAGCCTCTTGAAGAGGCCTCCAGAGTCTTGGACTTATTATGTCAGCAAGCTGTCTGCTGCAGTAGTTATGTCACAATGAGTGAGTTTGGGTTACCAGTGGAAAATAAGAGTTATGCTTTCGACTGGGAGCCAGGAGCTGGACAGCTTGCTTGAATCAGTTTCCTTTCCCTATTCATGTTCAGCTTAATGAGAGAAACTGAAACTCAACTGTTTTTCATTTTGTTTCTCTTTTGTGCATTCCTCCTGGACTTAAGGTGACTTAAGGCTTCAGCCTTGACTCGCATCTTCCTTCATACTCAGAGCTTCCTTAATGTGAGGAATAAAAGACTTTGTAAGTGAAGGGCAAAAACATCCTGAAATGAAGAGGCAGAAGGCACAGTAAAAAGCCTCAGAATTCTTACAGGAAATGAAAGGGAACAGCATTCTGTGGCATGCTGAACACTTTTGTATAAGATAGGAGACTTTTAAAAAAGGAATATCTATCCCTTGGGTCTTCATAGTGCTAGGGATCCTGGTCTGCAGGACAGAAAAGTTTATGTTCCTGAGGACTAAAAAGGACAGATACATATGTGGCACCTGAAATATTTAGTTCTGATCATCCAGGGCCTTTGAAGACTATTTCTAATGCAATTTTTTGTCTACTTGGGTATAAATAATGGATACAAAAGTACATGTGCTGTCTGTCAAGATTAAGACATACACATGTGTACTTTTTCCCCAAATGCCACTATAATGTATACATGTGCACCAGCTGGGTTCCTGCTGTCTTATACACTTTAAATGAAACACATCAAAACATATATACACATGCACAGAAGAAGGTACATGTATTTTGTTTTGTAGTATCCTTACTCAACTGCAAAGAAAGTTTCAATAGCCAGACTGGCCATTAGACATACTTACAGGAACATCCATAAAGAAGTTTGAGAGCCAGTGTATTACGGTGGGTGATGCTGGTCTTAGGAATGTAAGAAGGTGCTCCAGATTTTTAGGCAGCTCTTTCCGAGCACTATCTGGAGATGCCAGGATGTTGGGGAGAGGGGGACCTGGGAGATTTTGCATGTAAAGCATAGGCTTTACCATTGAGCTCTGGTTGTACCCTGAGTTCAGATCCCCAAAGCTCATAACTAAGTTCACCGAAGAAATTTGAGCCAGTCTCTCCCCCCCCCCCACACACACACACACAGCGAGCAAGCCAAACTTACCTCAGAGGGCTGATGTCAGGATACCGTGGGTGTGGGAGAGGCCATGGACAATATTCAGTGCCATGCTACCGCTAATGTATATTAGGTTGCGCTAGCAGGAATAGCATCTTGTGTGACTGACAATAGTGATTTGCTGGTTCAGTGAGTTTTCTGGGACAGCTTGTCAGGCTAGATGTATTGACATTGCATGAGAGGTAAATTATATTAAACACTGAACCATATATACTTCTTTGGGTTCCTTGGATGAAGGCTGCTATAGAAGTTTTGTAAGTAAATAAGAGCAGGAGCACAGGGCATATATTTGGAATTGTACTCCCATAATTGTTCCTGAGCTTTCCGTAGGCAGCAAGAAGCATCCAATAGAGGAAGGGGAGATCACACCAAACCTCACTCTGTCTTGCTATCAGCTACTGCTTCGTGTTATATTTAGAATTCTGTCTTGATGATTGTTTGCCTTTCTGTGTAGGAGATAAGAATGCAGAAGAGAAGAGTGTTCTTTATTCCAATCGTGCTGCCTGCTATTTGAAGGATGGGAACTGTAGTCTCTGTATTAAAGATTGCTCTGAGTAAGTCTCTGCTGTCACAAGGAGAGGAGAACAAAGACTAGATCACAGATGACTCCCTCATGCTACTTGATCACGCACGGTGATGCCTCACCGAGTCTGCCTGCAGCTGCTTGTGTAGAAAGTGACTGGCTCTGCCGGTGCAAAGCCCTTAAGGGCTGCCTCCCACTACTGGTTCTGCGGGCTCGGAAAGCTAGAAGCACTGGGGCATGGGCTAGCTGGCTAACTGCACATCTTGCTGCTGATAGCTCCTTGCAAGAGAGGATCACGTTGACCCTGCTAGCTAGAAGAGAGTTATCTTTTATGCTGGTTCTTACATCATTGAAATTCCAGGAGGAGCAGGGTGCAAGGGCAGGTTAAGAATAACACTGGGAGGTGACCCATTGCCCCCAGCCAGCAGCAAGCATGACTGCTTCCCTCCTACAAGGAGCTCTAGCTGTGCATTTGACCCATGGAAGCTCTTCCTTGCTAGGTTCCCAAGTCTCCAGATTTTTACTTGTCTTGGAGGCCGAGCAGGATCCTGTCTCTCCCTTTCAACACAACCCTGCATGTATTTATTAATAAATAAGGCCCATTCTTTGGGGCTTGGCCCTACATGACTGCATAGGATTACACCCTGGCTGTAACACATTAGGAAAACAGCAGACATAAAGGATGACATTATCCTATTAGGTGGTGCTAAGAAATTTGGCAAAATGTGCTTTCATAACACTGCAAGTCTTATTCTGGTGTGTATGGACCGACAAGAAGAGATAACTAATTTGTGATGGTCAGCAAATTAGAAAGTCATCCTCTCAATTCAGTGTATTTCACAAAAAAATAAAACCCATATTTGGATGCAGTGGCCATCCCTATAATACCACAAGCACAGTATTCTATTTATCTTAATATCTTTTTATTCTCTTATGTGCATCTTGTAAGTCCTTGTCTAACAGAAAGGCAAAATGCAGGTATTTGGAAATATTTTGTAATATGGATGTAGCCTCCACAAGGTATGCTACTTTGCATGTAAAACTGGATCGTAAAAATTTGTTACTTCACAACAGATGAGAGAAAGCCCTACATGAACAGTTTCCTTCTTCACTGGAATACAGTACATCTTAACTGCTTTGTCCAGTGGCCGTACTGGCTAGGAATGATGGGAGCTGTAGTACAAACCATCTGGTGAACTTCAGGCTGAGGAAGGGTAGGTTGTCCCAGTAATGATCCAAGCCATTCAGATAAGCATAAGCTTAGATAAATGGGTGCTGGGTACACAAATACGCTTTGAATATGAGCAAACCTGCTGCCACACTTTTATGATCTAAGGACCCTCTACCTTCTTTTCTGCTGATGTAGTGCCCTCGATCTGGTTCCTTTTGGGATCAAACCCCTGCTGAGGCGGGCAGCGGCTTATGAAGCCCTGGAGAGATACCATTTAGCGTACGTGGACTACAAAACTGCATTGCAAGTTGATTGCACTGTACAGGCCGCACATGATGGCGTTAACAGGTAATTCCTTGATCAGTGTTTTAAATCGGGTCCTCAGACTTTTCCACCAGGGGGCCAGTTGAGAGCTGCCGGTGCTGGGCGCGGGCCAGAAGGGTGGTGCCAGCGGTGCGCGTGGGCCGGCGAGGGGGTAGGAGCAGTGCGTACGGGTGCTGGGGCAGGGCGCACGGTGAGGGGAGGCAAGGCGGGGGCAGGCACATGCCACGAGGCGGGCGCATGAGGCAGCGGCTTGCTCACTTGGAGATCGTTTTCTCCGAGCGAGCAAACCACTGCCTCCCCGTGCACAGGGCAAGGTGGGTGGTGGCGGGCAAGTGTGTGCGGCAGGTCCAAATGGGCATGGCGGGCCAGATCCGGCCCGTGGGCTGTAGGTTGAGGATCCATGTTTTAAATTTAGAAAAATCTGATGCACAAAGTTTGGTCAGTAACATATTAATGATGCTGCTTGCCAAAAGTAAAGTATTTTTGGTTCTTCTAACTCACTAAGTATTCCATTCCAGACTTTCCCCCTCAATACACCATTCATTTTATACTTGTGTCGCACAATATCATCTTTGATATTGGTGTGATAGCCATGTATAAGAACATCTCTGAAATCCATGGACTAAAGTTTCCTTCTAGTTAATCTCATTCAGTTTGCCCAATACAAAGCAGAATGCCTGGGGTCAAGTAGCTGACATACTCAGCTTTCAGTTATATAACAGCTGTTTACCATGGCAACAGGATGCACTTGCCTTAAACCAAGCATAAAGTATACAAATGTAACACTGTTTCTTTTAGAAAATTTGCTACCGAGAAAATTGCTTGGTAGTATGTCTGATAGCTCACCTGTGCTATTTTGGGATGGTGCTTGGATCAAGAAGCATAAAACTTCAGGTGGGGCAAGGCAAGGCAAGGAGCTGGATCACTCTGTTTAGGGGGTGAACAAATCTTAGGTGGCCTTGATAAACAGCCAGCATGTGTTCTTGCTATGTTCTTGTCCTGAAAGGGAGAGGATGGCAAAGTCTTCATACCTTACACTGAGCATGGGATCAGCACAACTGTAGTGGTATTGGAGGTGGGAGTGAGTGTCTGCTTTCTTTCCTGTATGAAGATGGGGTTGGGAACTTAGCTCCTCTGGCTATAAACAGTTGAGGCACTAAAATTGCTTAGACAGCAGCAAGATGTCCCATGGCTTTTCGAGCAATTCCAGGAGTCACTGCAGTGGCTCAGGAAGCTGCTGCCATTCTTCTGTACCTAAATCCAGGCACAGAGAAAAGGGCTTTATTTATTTATTTATTTATTTATTTATTTATTTATTTATTTATTTATTTATTAAAACATTTTTATGCCGCCCCATTCGCCGAAGCCTCGGGGCGGCTTACAACAAAAAATTTAAAATAACATTTTAAAATATATACAATAAAATACAAATATACACTATAAAACAAGCCGCCCTGGCCAAATAAAATTCAATAATATTAACATTTAAAATACTGCTTAAATAAAAAGGTCTTCGCCTGGCGCCGAAAAACAAATAACGACGGCGCCAGGCGGACCTCTCTGGGGAGCGCATTCCATAACTTAGGCGCCACCGCTGAGAAAGCCCTCCTCCGAGTAACCACCCTCCTAACTTCTTCCATGGAGGGCTCCCGGAGAAGGGCCTCTCCCGCCGATCTCAGGGGGCGGCTGGGCATATAAGGATGTAAGCGCTCCTTCAGGTAACCAGGACCCAAGCCGTTTAGGGCTTTATAGGTCATAACCAACACCTTGAATTGGGCCCGGACTTCAATGGGAAGCCAGTGAAGCTGACGGAGAACTGGAGTCATGTGAACATAACGTCCAGTCCCCGTCAGCAGCCTGGCAGCTCTATTTTGGACCAATTGAAGTATCCGGACCGTCTTCAAGGGTAGCCCCACGTAGAGCGCGTTGCAGAAGTCCAAACGGGAAGTCACCAACGCATGTGTCACTGTCGCAAGGCAGTCATTCTCCAGATAGGGGCGCAGCTGATGAATTAGCCGAAGCTGGAGGAAAGCGCTCCTCGCCACTGCTGTTACCTGAGCTTCCAGTGAAAGCTCTGGGTCGAGGAGCACTCCCAAGCTGCGGACCTTGTCCCTAAGAGGGAGTGCAACCCCATTCAGGACAAGGTTCAATTCACCCTCTCCGAAGCCCGATCCACCAACCAACAGGACCTCCGTCTTGTCTGGATTGAGCTTCAGTTTATTGGCCCTCATCCAGCCCATTACCTCGGCCAGGCACCGGTTCAGCACAGCCACTGCCTCACCTGGATTGGTGGAAAATGAGAGGTAGAGCTGGGTATCATCAGCGTACTGATGGTTCCGCAGCCCACACCTCCTGATGACCTCTCCCAGCGGTTTCATGTATATGTTGAACAGCAAAGGGGACAAAATGGACCCCTGCGGTACTCCATGGCACAGCTGCCATGGCGCAGAGCCATAGTCCCCCAACACCACCTTCTGGAACCGGCCATTGAGATAGGAGCGGAACCACTGCAAAGCAGTGCCTCCAACCCCCAATCCCGCAAGCCTATCCAGAAGGATACCATGGTCGATGGTATCGAAAGCCGCTGAGAGGTCCAGCAGAACCAACAGGGACGCACTCCCCCTGTCCTTCTCCCTGCACAGGTCATCATACAGGGCGACCAAGGCAGATTCAGTACCGTACCCGGGTCTGAAGCCGGACTGCAATGGGTCCAGATAATCAGTTTCATCCAAGAGTGCTTGGAGTTGTCCCGCCACCACTCGTTCTAACACCTTGCCCAGAAACGGGATGTTGGCCACTGGTCTATAATTAGTGGCCATCTCTGGATCCAGTGACGCCTTCTTCAGGACCGGTCGGACTACCGCCTCCTTCAAAGGGGCCGGCACCCGACCCTCCCTCAGAGAAGCGTTAACCACTTCCAAGATCCAGGTTCCAATCCCGTGCTTGGAATCATTTATTAACCAAGACGGGCAAGGGTCCAAAAGGCAAGTGGTTGGACGTACTCGCCCAAGCACCTTGTCCACATCATCGGGCCGCAATAACTGAAATTCATCCAATAAATCTGGACCAGACGGCAGCGTTGGTGTCTCCTTTGAAACCTCTGAATCAATAGTGGTGTCCAGCTCGTGACGAATCTGAGCGATTTTCTCCCTGAAATGCCTGGCAAAGTCGTCACAGCGGGTCTTTGAGGGTGGAATCAGGTCTTCCTTTGGACCTGGACGGACCAGGCCTTGCACCACTCGAAAGAGCTCCGCCGGACGGCATTGTGAGGAGGCAATGGAAGCGGAAAAGAATCTCTTTTTTGCCGCCCTCACCGCCACAGCATAGGCCCGATAGTGGGCTCTTAAGTGTGTTCGGTCAGATTCATCTCGTGATTTCCTCCACCTACGCTCTAGTCGTCTCCCAACCTGCTTCATCGCCCTCAATTCAGGAGTATACCAAGGGGAAGAGCGGGCTCTGCCCGGTGGGAGAGGACGCTTAGGAGCGATCGTGTCTACAGCCCTGGTCATCTCCCCATTCCACAGTTCGACCAGAGCCTCGACAGGAGCACCCGTCTTGTCAGCCGGAAACTCCCCCAGGGCCTTCAGGAATACTTCTGGATCCATCCGGCTCCGGGGGCGGACCCACATAATCGGGTCCGCACCCTTACAGAGGGAGAAGTCGCTCTCGAGCATAAACCTCACCAGGAAGTGATCTGACCATGACAGGGGAGTCAAGCATAAATTACTCACCCTCAGACCACCCTCTTCCTGCCCCGTCGAGAAAACCAGGTCCAGAGTGTGTCCCCGTTCATGGGTGGGGCCGGTGACATGTTGAGACAGCCCCATGGCCGTCATGGAGGCCATGAAGTCCTGAGCCGCCCCGGTCAGACTAGCCTCGGCATGGAGATTGAAGTCCCCCAGGACCAACATCCTGGGGGTCCTCAACACCAGGTCCGAGACAGTCTCCGTCAGCTCAGGCAGGGAGACTGTTGGGCAGAAGGGTGCGCGGTACACCAACAGAATCCCCAGTCTGTCTCGGTCGCCCAACACCAAATAGAGACACTCCAGCCCTGGTCTCGAAGGGACCGGAAGTCCCGTGAGGGAGATGGAGGCTCGGTATACCAAAGCGACCCCCCCCCTCCCCTCCCCTCCAGCCGTGAGCAGTGCTGGACCAGATACCCGGGCGGGCACACTTGGGAGAGGGCAACATCCCCCCCCCCCTCTCCCGCCCAGGTCTCCGTTATGCAGACCAGGTCGGCCCCCTCATCCACAATCAGGTCCTGGATGAGGGCAGATTTGTTATTACCTGGCATTAAGCAACAGCACCGTCAGGCCGGAGGGGCGACTGACGAGACTCCCTGGCACCCTCTGGCTGGGAGCAAAACCAGAAGTAGGGACAGGTGTCAGCCATCTGTCCCTCCTTCTTCTATGCGGACACGTTAAGCTCCCAACGCTGTTACGTCCCCTGCCCATAACCACCTCAATGGCGGCACCCGTGCGCTCCCCAGGAAACATAAGCGGCAGCATGGCCAGGGACGACTCCATAAAAAGATTTAAAATACTACTAAAAACACACACACACACACACACACTCACCCCTCACTCACAGCCCAGCAGGAGGGCCTACCATCGCCAAGCGCAAGCCCCTGGCCAGCCCCGCCCCCTGCTCGGCCACCTGAACGGTGGCGACCGTCCTTTGGCCGACGCCCTTTGTAGCCGCTGGCCCTGCGTCCCCCGCCTCGTCCGAAGCACGCCTGCCACACGTGCTGGGGCGTGGCGGAGCAGCCAAGTGGGCGGTGGATGGCGGCGCGGTCTTACGCGGCCAGGCAGCGGCTCCCCTGCGGCGCGGCGCGGTCTTACACAGCGAGGAGGCGGCCCTCCTCCGGCGTAGGCTGCCGGGCGCAGTTGGTGTTCTTGTTTGGTTTTGTTTTTGGTCATGCTATTGCCATACCAAAAAAAAAAAAAAAGTTGCCAGTGGTGAAACAGGTCCATCCTAGCTGCAGCAGCTCACCACCTGCTTCTGAAAAGTGTCAGGAGATGGCTAAATGAATTTGGTTTCCTTTTCCAGAATGACCAAGGCTTTATTGGAAAAGGATGGCCTTCAGTGGCGCCAGAAACTGCCACCCATCCCATCTGTTCCTGTGTCTGCTCAGAGAAGATGGGAGCTTCCTCCTCCAGGAAGCCAAGAAGCTTCTTCCAAAAGCAAAGCAAATGACGCTGTAACCAAACAAGGTGAGTAGTTCCTTTGCCTTAATGGGTATGAACAGAACACCCAGAACCTTACCTAAGTAATCACTTTACCTATTGAAGACACAGGCAGATAATTCCCGTTGCTGCTTTTCATGAGATGAATACTGTGGCTCTGATACAACTTAACTTAGCTCTGATACTGTGTTATCCATCTAGAAAAATGCAAATCACACAGTCGCTTTCTCAGAACCCGATATGGGAATACAGTTGAGGCAGTTTTATTTCAGCTGCTGCTCTTCTGAACAAGGCCTGTATGACTTGTGACCATTAAACTGAATGCTCACCAGCACTGTGCCTCACTTGCCTCCCAGCCCCAGTGTGTGTGTGTGTGTGTTGTTCCAGGCAGGTTGCTGACATCCTGATGCAGGACTCCATTTAGCTTCCTGGGTCCCCTGGTGCTATGGTCTGTTCAGAGTGAACTTCATTTCCAAAACTTATCACAAAAACTCAGTGATACGTTCTGGTGCTACTAGATTATACAGCTATATGGGTTCCAGTAGCTATTGAATTTATCTCCTTAAGCCCTGCTGAACAGCCAGTGGAAGAAATCTCAATTTTTGTTTAAGTTTTTGTTAAACTTGATTAAGCTTTCTAAAGCTTGATCAAAGTTTTTTTTTAAAGTATGGTTTAGGTTAGTTAGTTTGTTTTAAGTAGGCTGCAGTTCCTGAAATCCAACCCTGATAATTCAGGTCTGAATTTTCATCTATGGTGTGATTCCTTGTTATAAAAATTGTGTTCCTTGTTCCTTCTATTTTTACATGGGTCTGTTTTTCTTGAATAGCTGCTGCAACCGAACGCGCAAATGCACTAAAGCTGGAAGGAAATGAATTTGTAAAGAAGCGAAACTACAAGAAAGCCGTTGAAAAGTATACGGAGAGCTTAAAGCTTCATAAACTGGAATGTGCAACATACACTAATAGGTAATGCTCGTGCAATGAATGACAAGTAACACTTCATCCTACCTCCAAGAAATGAAATCAAGATGCGGTACCATAGTGTAGGGATATTGGAGATCATTCATGATTGCCAGTTTTAAATTGTCCTGTGAACACACAATCATCTCAAGAATCTGTGTTCATGTGCATTTCACTGATGTGCAACGTGTCTACATGTCTTTCCTTGTTCTGTAGGCTTGTATGGAACTAGACAGAGCCTCCAGGAAGCAGGGCAGGCAAGAGATCTCCCTCACTACTTATACAGGACTTAATCTGTCTCCACATGCCTTTATTCTTGTCTCCTTAAGTTAATCTATACCTGTGAAAAGACAAAGACCTGCACTCAGTTGTGCCTTTCTTGCCCAAACCCACATTGTTAAAGCGGGCCTCTGGCCATCCCATAGAGAAGCTTTCTATGGGTCAGAAGGAGGAAAGGACAGAAGGAAGAGGGGATGGGAAATCATCCTTTCATTGAACTTTAAGTTAACCTACCTTAAAACAGATAGAATCTTTTCCTTCAGAACACTCCTGTTACATTTTCTAATAACTGTCTATTATTCTTAAGATTTAAAGATCTGTTTGTGCCAAAAGAAGCAAGATTGTTTGGGTACAGAGGGGTGGGGAGCAAGATTTCCAGTACTGAGGAAATGTCCCAGATAGCTTTTTGCCACTCCTAATGACTAGGAAAACTGAAAACTAATTCAGAGTAGAAATTATAAATTATGGAAAAGTGTGCTGAGCAAGTGTTTCTTGATGCAGAATTTGGAGTGCCTGGTTACAGTTTAGTTCAGAGTACACAGTGCTGTTTGTATGTATGACTTGAAAGAGGATATACAATCTTCATAGGTCTGGAGGAATTTAGGTGAGATAGATAGGACAACTGAGTACACAGAGTGCAGACAGCTGCAATAACAATGACTATTTCTGATGAGTAGTAAGCAACTCTTTTTTAAAACATTCTAGCAGTGCAGCTAATAAAAGCAAATAATTATATCCATGTCAGCTTTGGGCAAGATGTGAAAGACAAACATTTTAGAAGAATTGTTGTAGAATGTATTCCAAATGTAAAGCTTTCCTAAGTTTAAGAAGAGTTCAGTAAAAAATACCTTTTGGGGCAGGGGAGGGGACTTGAAACTTGCACTGAGTTGAACTACAGTCCAAGTCACATGCATGAAAATGCAGCGTTTGTTTGACTGCTCCTCATCACATGAATTAGATAATTCCAAACTCAGGATTGCTTTGCCAGTCACTTTCAAATACCGTTTACATTCTAGAGCTCTTTGCTACCTGAATCTTCAGCAGTACAAGGAAGCAATTCAAGATTGTTCAGAAGCCCTTAAGATCGACCCAAAGAATGTCAAGGCATTTTACAGACGCGCACAAGCATACAAAGAACTCAAGGTAAAGAACTTCCTGGGATGCTTAATAATTATGTTGTACACATAATTAAACATGCTAGAAATAACATGTTCTCTTAAGATGCATTTTATTATTTCAAGCATTGTGTTTCGTATTGCAGAATACTTTATAAGCAGTGCTTTTTTCTTTTTCCTACGCATCTGTGCATTTTTGCCCATCCTTTAAGGTTGAACTGCCTCCCCCTTAGTTCCTGGCAGTGAGAGCTTTAAGCTAAACCATGCTGCTAGATGGTGTGGTGTTTCTTGTTTGCTTGGCCACACCAGAAAGAGAATTCAGTCCTTGGGATGAAAGAGGTAATCTGCCCCTGCTTTAAAATAGTTATTTGAAACTGTGAATTGAACCTGGAATGACAAAGAACTAGGAGACCCCAATTAATAATCTGAGTATACCCTATTTTGAACCAGTTGAAACATCTGAACCATTTTCAAAGGCAGTTCCCACAAACAACACATTGTAGGAAACAAGCTAGGCAATTTTTAGACTAGTTGTTATGGCAGATTCATGGGCACAAGAAAGCCAGTAACTGAGGGAGGTCAATCTATTCAGCTCACTCTCCCAGGCCAAGTCACTCCACCACCAGCTTGCCAGCACCAGGCATTTGCATCAGCCATAGAAGGCAAGAGTTTAGTTTTGGCCAGGGTTCTGCACATTCCTCATTCTCAAAAGGCGTGACCCCTGCTTGTTTTAAAGGTAAGGACTGATAAGTTGCTTGTTGGTCTGGTGCTTGCAATATGTGTTCTAAGATAAGTCAGTTCTTTTTTAAATCTTTGGCAGAGTTGCAACTTCTTAACACACACATTTAAAGCATTGTTCCTTATATAAATTCATTAGAAAATAATCCAATAATTATCCCAATAATATTCACCAGGCAACATTCCTTACACTGCAAATCAGTTTACCTATAATGCAATTAAAATACACCCCTGATACAGTCCCAGGCATTTCTTGGCTTAATTCTGATGATGATATAACTCATGAGCTGTTTCCCATGTATTATTTAGAAGTACACAGTTACAAGATGGTTTCTGACCACTTCCTGCCCATTGTACAACCTTGTTTCTGGTTTGTTCTGTGGCATGTTGAGGGAGAAACAATCCAAAGTTAATAACCTAAGAACATGGAAGGCATCCCAAATCATAACCCAAACCTACAGCACATTTAGGATGTGTTAGTGTCTGATAAGTGGGAAGGAATGGCAGGATGCAAACTGAGCCATTGACAACACTCTGGCTCCACAAGAGGCAGGCAATATTTTTTATGTGCAGATTGGCAGTTGAGGACAGAAGCTAAGCCAAGAGGCAGCCTGAGATTCAACATGTTCAGAGACTGCTGAGTAGTTAGTTGCTATGGTGTTTCAAACAGTAGAAGCAGAAAATAGGCCTGCAGAAGAGGCGCCAGTGTGTTTCCAGCTAAGAGAGATGGTATTACTTTTTTCCAGGTGTGCGAGTTCTTGCTGCTTTTCAAGTTTTTGTGGGTTTTATTTCCTTAAGTAGCAAGTCTAGGCTAATACAAATACCACCACAAACCCATACCAAATATCTAAATACTGTTTGTCTTTTTAACTTTCAGGACTACAAATCCAGCAAAGCAGATATTAACAGCCTCTTGAAAATTGAAGCAGACAACAGTGCTGCTAAGAAACTACTGCAAGAATTAAACAAACTCTTAAAATAAGAGGGGGCTAAAGACAACTTTGTGCTTTGTGCTGTTCTGAAGATGACATGTTTTTCCTGTTTAAAATGAATCCTAGAGACCAGCCTGAATGCAGTTGCAAGATTCACCTAGAGCTGCTGACATTTCTCTGGTTCCTTGCTTTCTAAAAGTTGTTCATTCTTCTCTTAAAGCCTTCCAAATGTTCAGTGTGACCTCTTGAGATTCACAACTTCCTAGAGAGGTAGCTGTGCTGCAAGTCTCAATGCTATAACAGAATTACAGGTTTTAATACCAAACTTCTAGCAGATTAACCGTTTGTCAAATGTGATCTTTCTGGTGTGTGTGTCCCGGAAAACTCCTGCAAGCTTCTGGGAGTGGCTGCTTATACATTTAAGTAGTAGCTTAGTACAAACTAAAAGCTTGAGTTGAGAGAGTGGTGGATGGAAGTAAGAGTGTCGAGCATAGTCTGCTTTGCCTTAACTTGTGTGCACTAGGCTCCAATGGAGTATTTGGTCTGCAGAATGTTGCTTAGAAATCTAATGCTGCTTTTGTCTTTTACCAAAGAGCTTGGTTTACAGTGTTGCCCTTAGAATGTGTGTATATTTTCATAATCTGTACTTTTGTTGATTAGGCTGTTTTTAGGTTAAATATCCTTTTATGTCATTTTGTACATGACTTTAACTTTCTACTCCTTCAGCCTTTCCCCCCACCTTGTCACAACATTTGTAGGTGAGGAGGAAGAGAAGGCAGTTTTTCCCATTACAAAAATACATAGTTGGAGAGGCCTGCATGGACAAGAACACTTGCCTGTCTGCCTGCCACAAGTAGCTTTTTCTAGGTCTGCTTCTCACAAACAACAGATAATAAATGTGTGTTTGGTTTTTGCACTTCAGTTACAACATAAAGGAAATGTCTGATTGAATATTAAAGTTTCTTTGTGGTGTGAAGAATTGAATAAGAGGGGGAAGGATTGTGGCCTAGCATTTCCCCTCCCATCCTAATTTCTCCATGTGGTAGAGGAGTATTTAATTGTAGTAACTTCCACGTGCTGCCTGGATTAGTTCAGGTGCATGTTTACCATGTCATCTGCTGTTTGTGAGAAATAATCTCAAGCCACCACCATGAAGAGTGGCCGGCATTCATCATTCTGCCCCCCACCCCAAATTTTCAGAGCTGGATTTGCAGTTAGCTACTCTGCTTGTATGAACAAAAGTAGTCTGTCAAGTCCTCAGTTTTTACTGCCTGAAAATGTTTGCCTGTAAAGATAGAAGGCAGGGAAAGACCCGCGCGTGCAGCCTTTTAATGCAGATCTGCGGTGGGGAAGCTGTGCTGCACATCCTGTAGAAAACTACTGCTATTCATGTTGCACTGGGGAGTGCAACACAGCATTATGAGTAGCTGCCCCTCTCTCCCCTCTCTGCAGGCTTTGGATGGAGGAGAATGGCTGGCCACAGAACCACTACTTAAGATCTCTCTCCTCAGGCCACTGGTAAAGCTGGATTCTTACACTAAGTCACTCTGTGCTCCTATATTGTTTTGAGCTTCTAAATAAACATGTTTGGTTCTGCTCCCATGTGCAACTTCTGATGGTAGACATGAGCATTTATCTTGTCTCCATGAAACTGCAGGGCAGGGCGGGCTCTCAGTTTGAAGGCACCCTCAACAGGCATGCTCTCCATTGGCCCCACTCTGACATCTGGGCCCCCCATTTCAATTTTATGTAGTTGTACTCTGATCACCAGCTAATGGCAGTCTATTTTACACTGTTTATTTACTGTGCGACATCTAAGACTCCAGAGTGGTGAATGATAAGATGAAAAGAAAAAACACTATTTAAAGTATGTTTTTCATAATGAAGTTTCAATAAAAAGCATGGCTGGTTGGTCAAGGAAAGCTTCTTGAAATGGTGATGTTTTCAAGAGGAACTGAACAAAACATTGGTGCCTACAGAGAGTTCATTAGAAAGAGGCAACACTGAAGGATCTCAGTGTTGCTGGATGCCCAGATCCATCAGGAGGACAAAAGTGGGATAGGCATATTGAGGTGCTTGGGTTCTGGCAGGTGCCCAAGAATGTGGACACCAGGCCATTTTAAATGTGTGGTGGTTAGAGTGCTCGAGTGGGGACCTAGTTCTCACTTGGACATGAAGCTCATCAGCTGACTGTGGGCCAGTCACACACTCTCAGCCTAACCTACCTCACAGGGCTCTTGTGAAGATAAAGGGAAGCTTTCTAAGCTGTCTTGGGTTCCTCTCAAGTGAAATAAGGTGGATATCAATAGGTTAGATTGGCAGGCATTTTGCGTGTTATTGCAGTATTTTTTGACATATTCATCTGAAGAGGCAGTGTACCCTCTGCAAACTGAGAAGAGCCAAGCTATCTGCTTCCAAAAATAGGAATTCCAATGATAATTTGAAGTGTCCTTCCCAGCTCCAAAAGGAGATAACAGCAAATAAAATCTTTGGAATTTCTACACAATCAAGCATTTATCTGAAGAAATCTGGATCAATAACTGCATAGAGGACAGAAAGCAAAGAGCAGGAATCAATGGCAAATTTTCTCAATGGAGGAATTAAATGGGGGAAGTGTTTGATAGGGATTGGTAGGCACCAATGCTTTTCAACTCATTCATAGATGATCTGGAGCTGTCCACGTTTACTGATGATACCAAATTATTTAGAGTGGTTAAAACAAAAAAGGATCGCAAGGTGCTCTAAAAAAATCTCCCCAAACTGAAAGAATTGGCACAAAAATAGCAAATGCAAAATTATCGCATGGGGGGGGGGGGAATCCCAGCTTCATGTATAAACTGATGGGTTTGAACTAGCAGTGACTGATCAAGGTAGATTTTGGTGTTGTGGTGGACCATTCAATTAATATGTCAATCCAGTGTGTGACTGCTATGAAAAAGGCAAATAAGTTAGGCATCTCTAGGAAAGGAACTGAAAATGAACTGCCAGGATCATTCTCCGAATACAAATCTTTGGTGTGACCACACTTAGAATACTGTGTATAGTTCTAGTCTTCTAGATCATTCTAGACTAGAATGATCACGCATCTAGAGCATCTCCTCCATGAAGAAATATTACAACACCTGTGCCTGTTTAGCTTACAAAGAATGCAGGTAACTGGAGACATGATAGAGGTACAGAAAATGACACACTATGGGGAGAAAAATGATATGGAGACCCTTTCTCCCTCTCTGTACCAGAGACCAGGATTGTCCTGCGAAGTTGTCCTGGCTGAGATTGAGAGCTGATGCAAGGAAGAACTTCACTGCACACGTGTAGCTCAGCTATGGAATTCACTTCCACTAGGCCACCAACTTGGAATACTGTAAATGGGATTCCGCAGCCATGAATGGCTGCCAGTCTTGAGGGCGATCTGCTACCTCTAGAGTCAGAGGTACAGCAGCTGTATGTATTCCAGTTGCTGGGGAATTCACCCAGAAGAGCACTAGTTTCATTCATTTCCAGTCTGTGGTTTTCCCACAAGTAGCTTGCTGGCCACATCATATATAGAATGCTGGACTAAACGGGCCCTTGGTCTGATCCAGCAGGGCTGTTACGTTTTTATTTAAAGGGGTGTACACATGACCAAGCAAATGGAGGAGAGAGTTCTTTTTAATTAGAAGAGTCAACCATTCAAATGTAACAAGAGTTCCTTCTATCATGCAGTATAAAAGCCTTTTTGCAAGTGTCATATGTGCCAACTGGCTTTATTGAAAGTGAATAACAGATCACCTTGGTTCATTCCATGCCTGAAAAGTTTTGGGTATACTCCTGAATCCAGAAGTGTAGTGGTTAATGCCATCTATACAGTGAACAAACATATCTAGGAAAGGACATAAGCAATGATTAAGTGACATTTCAGCACTATATCATGCCAACAGCAGGAACAAATAAATTAGTGTTACAGGTCCCAGTACTGGTTTATGATTAAGGCTACTAAAAATGACCAGCACTGAGAAATTAACATTTGAAAAATCAAAACAATGGAATCATTCTGTTTCACATCATTTTCCTATTACATTGTCAATAAACGTTCCCACCTGCTAGAGTTGCTGGAAGAGCACTCTCATGACTATCATACCTGCATATATTTGAAACATAAGTACAATATTAGTGGGAAAGAAAATCGCGATGGATCTTAAGTGCACAAAAGAAAATGTAATTTAAATACCTAGACTCTTGCACAAAGAACCAGTTTATACACATACGCAAAAGCAAAACAAATACTTTTACAGCATTACGGATGAAGCACTTCTGCCTTGATGTGTGTCTATCCTCAGCAGGGTTGTCCATTTTCTTGTCCTTCAAACACACAGGGCAAGCAATGAAAAAGTTAGGGTTAACTGCAGTGGTTACTTACAAACTGTTATTTCTAGATTTGGAATTTTAAGGAAGTTTTCATATGCCTGTCACTTTGAGTATCACCTCCAGGAGAGAGGTAGGATATATGCTTTTGTAGTTCTCTAAATTCAAACCCACTGATAGGCATTTATCTAAATCAGCATTCTCCAGTTTGGTATCCTTCAGATATACTGGACTACAAATCCGATCGGCCCAGCCAGCCTAGCTAGAGTAGCTGGGGTGATAGAAACTGTAGTCTAACACGCATTGGCAAAAACTAACTTAGAAACAGAGCAAGTCAGAAGGGGCCTCCTGGTCCATCTAGTCTGACCCTCAGCTCCAGCCGGCTCCGCTCATGACATGCCCACCATGTGCATGTCCAGCCTCTCTTTGAACACCAGAGTATGTAGCCATCCTAGCAGCAGTACAGGAATGGGCAACCTGTGGCCCTCTGAATTGTTTGGCTTACCAACTCCCACCACCCTTCATCACTGGCTATGCTGGCCATATCGGATGGCAGGTGTAGATCCAGATACCTGGAAGACAACAAGCTGTCCACACCTGCGGTTGCTGCATCATAGGAGTCCCCATCCTTTTGGGATTAATGGGCATATTTGGAAATTTTGCACTTGCACAAAACAGCAGGCATCGGGTCAAGCTCGCTCATTCATAAACTTGCTACCATGGTGGAGATGACCAGTCCAAAAACACCCATTTTTGAGAAGGCAAACTGGGGAGACTAAAAGAAAACCAATTTGCCCAAGAACCATAGTAAGAGGCAGAGGTGGGGCTGAGCACCAAAATGCAAATAACGTTCCTTTGAACTCAAAGATGCATGACACTGGAGGACAATGCCAGTCTAAGTGACTAAATAACTTCTTAAAATCTCATATAAAATAAAAATCAGGAGGGGCAGGGAGATGATGGGAGGTGTCCATGGGGCACTCAGGCCCACTGGAACCACCCTGAAGATGCCAGCCAAAGCAGGTGCCCTGGCAGGGCCCGCATCTAAATGATGCTCAGACCAAATGCAACATGTTGAGAAATGGCCTGTTTTGTGGCACAAAGTCTTCCTGCATAAGCAGAGTGCAAGCTACACCAGTGTGCATCCATAGCTGTTGTGCTGGATCTCTGGTCTGAGCTAGGGCTGAAGCAGGCAAATGCCACTCACTCAGCACCAACGCAGGGCTAAAGCACACTCTGTTACAGAAATAGCATGTAGCTGACCAGAACTTTTTTCAGTTTATTGCAAACTTGTGGGATCCCAATCTACATCACTGCCAAGAGAGAAAGGTTGTTTTTTTCTTAGGCCCTGTGCAGAAAAAGCCTATAAGTTTAGGAGGAAAGCAACTGGGTGGAAATCTTTAACCTGTCCATCCACCCGTGACTTTGGAAGTTGCCATCCAACACTTGGGGAGGGCACAGGGCAAAGAAGGCTGCCTTACTGTGCGGAAGCCAGAGTCCATCTAAATGAAGTAGCCACGCATTCTTCCCTTGCACCCATGCCTCCATCACCCCCTTCCTCTCTCACTTCCCTGGCCCTATTTTAGGTTGCAAGCTCCGGGGGGTCAGGGGCTTGTCACATCTGTTTTCTGTAAGGTTTCCTATGTACCTAAAGGGGTCTAGATCAATACTAAAAGCCATGGTAAGCCTACCAAGTCTTCCATGCCACCTTGGTCACTGCAGGTATGCTGCCGAGCCACTCTTACGGGTTACCTCAGAGATCTGATGTGCTTGCAGTACAGCAACTGCTTCCTCGATCTAGGAAAAGCAAAACCCAAGAAAAGACCATCTATTAGTACAGCCAGTTACACCAAGATGAACTCTGCCAGTCCACCTGCTGGACAGCAGAAATCCCATCACCAACACTAGCACGGTATAATCCCCTTCCTGAAAATGATGGTTTGGAAAGCAGACAGGGCTACACATGTCATTTCGGCTGAAATGAGCCAGCCTCTTGGGCTAGCGTCCAAGGAATTTAGCACACATTCAGGACCAAGCTGGTAAAAGCCTCTTCACTTGAGTTTTGTTACCTGTAGTATGTTCAGACAGTAACTTTTGCCTTACTAATTTTTTTTTAGTATTTTTTAGTATTAAGTATTTTCTGGATGCTGTCTAACAGAGCAGAGGAAATGCAACAAGATTCTAGATTCTTGTCTTTTTGCCACATGGCTCCATCTTTGCTTGGTCCTGAGACTGATTTCAGGGTTAAGGTCTGTTCACACTTTAAGACCAGTAAGAAAGGCCCTCTTCATTGGCCCACCTGTGAGGGCAGTCAGGTGGATGAGTACATGAAAGAATCTTTTCTGTAGTGGCCCCACACCTCTGAAATGGGTTGCCCTCAGGGGTCCACCAGGCCCCATTATTGAAGGTTTATAGGAAGGCCCTGAAAATACATTATTTTACCTAGGCTGTCCCCTGATTATGATTGGATCATAGCTGCAGTTTTATGTGAAAGGGTTTTCTTTTTTTCTGGTGTTTGCTGTTTTCTAGAATATTTGTAGCTGTTGCCATTCAGTTTCTATTGAATATTGGTTTTTATTGTGGATTCTATTATTGGGCTGTTTTTATTACCATACCAGTTTTTATTATGGGAATCTTATTGTTTTTTGCTTCTTGGGAAGGTTCCTACCAAGTGGTCAAGATATGTTATAGACAAATAAAAGCCCTTTAGGCTAAGATTAGTAATAATTCCACCAAGAGGCACTAAAACATGTTCTTTCTTGGAAGCTATTCTAAAAGCTTTATACAAGCTTTGGAGATACGCAGAACTATTTCAGATGCCAAAGGAAGATAGGAAAAAGAAAAAAAAAGCAGATCTCTCCAAGCACAGATAATAAAAAGCCAAGTTTTTTTTCTCACTGGAAAAAATGCAAAGAAGGGAAAGGAAGCTCTTGCAAATGATTAGGTTAAGGCCAGGCCATGAGCTAAGGTAGTCACTTTTCATTCCAGAAGGAAGAGAAGTAGTTTGCCAAACCCACTCTGCAACACAGGCGTATCAATGCTTTCTTGCTTCTTGAAAAACAGGGAGACTGCATTCCATTGCCTTAACAAGCATTAAATGGTTTCTTAAGTGCTTTCTTTCTTAATTCAACCCTGCCTAACTCCCCCTTATTCCCTATTATACCTGTCTGCAATCACCAGCTTCTTTTATTACAACTTCTCCACTCCCCAATCCTTAAAAAAAATTGAACATTCATACAATCTGCTCCCAATGTCTTTGTCAGATCATCGTCCTGCTAACTTATTAATACATTCTCATGTTCTTATCAAAAGAGACTTGGCCGTAACAATGCAGGTTTGGGACAGCAATATGCAGCTTTCAGGTTTGCATAGCAGTTATTCCACTGAGTACCAGCTGCTGGGGAGCAGTACTGAGAGGACTGTTGCCAGGCATCATGCTGGAGGGCTCCTAAGGGGATGTGGTTGGCCCCTGGAGGAGATGGAATGCTGAACTGGAAAGCTCTTTGGTCAGATCCAGCAGGGCAATTCTTATTCGCTGAATGCCTGCATACCTGAAATGCTAAACCCACTTTCCCCAACTTAGTCCAACATATCTGGAGGGCACCAGGCTGGGAAAGCAGGTGTAACAGAAATGATGGGGGAATAGAAGGGAACAATAGCGTGCTGCACGCTGGCCCCGCATCTCAGCTCAGCCCAAACGTCCCCATCACAGCTCAAACTTCCCCGGTACTAATCTGTGTGACTACGCATAGCAGTTGAGTTTATATGCAAGCCTATTTCTCTTAACTGCCAGAAGAAGAAACAAAATTCTGCACATATTAACCTGGTTTGAATGTAATGATAGCTTTCATGCAAGCCATTCCAGTTTGCACAGCATAAACTATGAATGTCTGATTCATAGGTTATTAGCATGATGTCTGAATCCAGACACACTCGTTTGCTTAATCCACAAATAATCCAGTGAATCTATGGTTTGTTCTTAGGTTAACTTTGGGTTGTATAACCCATGAATTACATTAAGTGGCTGCTCTTTAGAAGGCCAGATCCTGAAGATGAAACTCAAATACTTTGGCCACCTAATGAGAAGGAAGGACTCACTGAAGAAGAGTCTAATGATGGGAACAATAGATGGCAAAAGAAGAAGGGGACGGCAGAGGATGAGGTGGCTGGATGGAGTCACTGAAGCAGTTGGTGCGAGCTTAAGTGGACTCCGGAGGAAGGTGGAGGACAGGAAGGCCTGGAGGAATGTTGTCCATGGGGTCACGATGGGTCGGACACGACTTCGCGACTAACAACAACAATGGACATTGCACTCACAACTAATGAACATTATTCATAGGTTTTTGCTGCAAACTGGAAGTGGATTGCCCACAGCCCCACAAGTCATAATTTAAATAACCCACAAGAGAACAGCTCCACTCAATCTTTTGCCAAAATGGACAGCTATAGGATGTGTTCTGTGATTTTCTCAATCCTTTCCTCAGACTGTCATGATAATAGATTGTCACCTTTAAAAAAAGCGAAGAGAGCATGCTTTCTGTATATCCATGAAGCAGTACAGGTGTTTTAAATTGCAAGATCTGTTGTTGTGACTGTAGGGTTAGCTGAAATTTTAAGAATGATGGCTAAATATTCAAGAAGGAAATTAACTCCAGTAGAACAGGTATTGTAGGGGAATGAGAGGGAAGTAAACTGCTCATATCCAGCTTGTGGGTTTCCCAAAATTATCAGATTTCCCATGGTGGGGACAGGCTGCCCTTGGTCTGATTCAGCACAGCTATTAATATTTTCTTACAGGATTCCAGTACCTTAGAATGGAGGGATTCTGATGACTCCAGCATAAGCAACAGCTCAGAATTATCTATCTCCAGCAGCATGCCTGTAATCTTCCCAGCCAGAGAGGGGTGCATCGCATGAATGAGAGGGTAGAGATGCTCACCTGTGCATATCAAAAGAGGACAAGAGCATGCATTGCAAGGAGTGAGGGGAAGCCACAACTTTTGGTTCAAGTCCTCTTAAAGGAAACCACGCTCCATGCCAAGCCCAAAAGCAGCAACCAGCACTCTTGAATGGCTACCAGGGCCCACAAATGCCACTCCTGGGCCCATGGAGCCAGCCAGATAGGAAGCCAACTATGGGATACAAAGGGGCGGCGGGGGGGAACACCCTAACTAACCGGACTGAACTCTGAATGATCCAGTAGGGCTTTATCCAAAGCAGCCAAGCTAAGCTCATCCTTTTAGCATTTTAAGAAGATGAACTCACCTGCTCTGAGTTGACTAATTCATACTGTTCTACCCCTTTGGCAAACTCAGATAAGTGATGGGCAGCATCAAAGACCCTGTTCTCCTTTCTTCTGGTCATTAAAATGGACTTGGACTGGATGTTAAATAGAATTGGTAAAAAATTTCTCCTTCTTTCCCCCAACTACACTCATTCATTCTGATAGAAAATAAATAGCTCTTGAAAAGGTAGTTAAAAGAGAAGAAAATTCTGGAGAAAGTTGGCTTGTGCTTTATTTATGGGGTGATTGAGAAGTATCCTTGAGTGTCCTTTCCAGCTCTCCGGCAGCCTGTAGACTGATTGACTTGTAAGACTTCAATTAAAGCCCAAGGGAAGCCACAAGGCAGTTCCTTTCATAAGGGGCTTTCATAACAGCAAGTGCAGAGGGCCTGAGTGGTTGCACAGCAAGAGAAATAAAATCTGTTCTGTTTTAACCTGTTTAAAATATGTTTAATTCTCTACATAAATAAATTTAAAATAAATTAAAGAACACTCTGAGAAGGAAGCACAGAAATGGAAACCTCTTTTGTGGGGAAGAGGATGCCCAGAAAATTAGAGGACAGGTTTTGGCACAGGACTAATTCCACCATTTCCCTGAAGCTACGCACAATTATGCCCCCTGCTCCTGCATTGTGGGGGAAGCAAAATGGGGGCTGCCGGCACAGTTGGTTTGTTGCCCCTTGTAGTCGCAGCACACAAATACAAAAGTAAATACCCCGAGGAGGGAAAATGGCTGGGCCACAATCCCTGTCCATGGTTAGTCCTAATAGTGAGAAGGTATTAGAGAATCTCTCCTAAAGCAACTGGGTGAAGTTGCTCCCCTCATAATTTCTCGGCCTTCATATAAAGTAGAGATTTTTAAACAGCCATTTGCCCATTAAATGCTGGACACCTTCAAACAGAAGACAGTCCTCTGTAGAGCAGCACACATATCCACCCAAAACACAGTCCTTACGAATCTAACCAACTGGCAGTCACGAGCGGCTCAGCCATCAGCTGTTCAGTCAACAGAAAAGAGCTGCACCCCCATGAAAAATGACTGTGTCAGGAAATCCCTGCTGCCAAGACCCAGGCAGTTGCTCAGGAGAAAAACTTTGACAGATAAAATCCAGACATTTATAGCAGATATTGTTACAGCTCTGGGAGAAGTAAATATTCAGAATGGTTTTTCATATTGCTTGCCTGTTGGAGCCAGGAAATAACAAAGTTGCTTTCATACTAATGGACTGGCTTTTCTGCAATCAGCTGGAAGCAGCATTAAAACAGAGTTTCCAGAAAGTAAAAAAATACAGTTCTATTTGTGCCCCAGTGGGTTACAGTGTAACAAGAGCTGATCTGAGTAAAATATGTTTGTAAATATATTGTAAAATTCATGCAGAAAAACAATGAATACTTTTTAACTTCTATAAAGCAAAAACATGTAACACTGGAAATATTAAGGTATAAACAGTTTATGTAGGACAATAAATGCAAAAGAACCTCACATGCAGAAGTGTGCAGCATTAAATGCTTACAAAGAAAATACAACTGTAACCATGTACTGAGAAATGGCGTGACTGTTAGTTGCATGCAAAGACTGTACCACATGAAGTAAATTACTGTTTGAATATTAGAATAAAGTTTCAGGAAAACTGTATTTGAGCATTAAGCAAAATTGCTATGACATATAAAAGCCATAGTAAGCTAAGCTAGCAGCAGCTGGAATTGCCGCAGGGAGTAGCAAATCTGGTTGTGCATACTGACACACTGTTCCAGGGGTTGGCCACGGGTTTGTCAGTGGAACAGTCTGCATTTCAGACTCCTAGCAGCAAGACGTCCTGCCCTTAAGGAAAATAGTGAACCATACTTTTAATCCCATACCATTCCATGGCTTCCTTATAAGTCCTTTCCCAGAACCTGTCCCCAAAAGGGACCTGATATAATGAATATAATGCTGTATTATCCACCAATGTCCTTCTGCACAGCCAAGACAAATTTTCTGTAATGTTTGGCCACAGAGTTAGCTTCATTCAGTACAGGTCATATCCAAAATTAATTAAAAACTTCCTCTGTTCAGGTCTTGCCCAAGGATCATTAACAAAAATTAACCACCATCCCATACCCATGGAATCAGTATCCAAGTGCTGAAGGCTTCTCCACTCTGGAATCATTCAGATGTGTTTAACTGAAGCTTCCAACACCCCCAACTGGCATCCACAGTGCAAAACATCTGGAGGGCACCTGAGTAAAGAAGTCTGCTCTATTACTTCCCTGGAGAGCTTAAGTAGTGAAGTGAACCACTCCACTGTCTGCAGAAACTTAAACAAAGCAGACATGGAGAACTTAATATTTGTTTCAGGAGTTAAACTCTGAAATCAGTTCTGAATGTCAACGTTCAGTTCTGAAACTCAAAAACCACTGGAACACCTACCAAGCACATTGCCAACATAATTATAGACCCTATGAATCTGGAAGAAACCAAGAAGGGCTTTTCAAACTAATAAAGAGTGGCAACTTTTTAAAAATAGCAATTGGATTAAGATTCTTTCCCACATGTCTAGCTAGATGAACAGGGTGGCTCGAGTGAAGGCAACCTACTGAGAGTGAACTGCTCATACTAACCAAGCATTTGTTTCTGCTCCTGAGGAGAGGCTGCTGCCAACATGGAGGCCGTCAGTGGCTCCTGACCATGGATGTGAACAACAGGTTCAATAACCTAGAGACCAAGAAACAAGACTGGTAGTAGACTCTCTGCTCAAGTGAGCATCAATACCCTGACTGTATTCCACAGAACATTTTCTGGGTACAGCAACTCTTCCTACTCAGGCCAGTAAGGCACCCTGGCTGTATGCTAGCAGGGCGTACCACCAGCATAAAAGGAAGCCTAAACCAACCTTCCTAAACCAACACCTGAAGTCCTTGCAAGTTCATCTGGCAATTTGGACAAGGACGCCCCAAGCCTCATCAAAAGAAAGAGGCTTTCTGCCTTCTCAGCAGCCATCAAAATGAGGGAAGGCAATATTGTACCTTTCACTATATTCTGTGCACTATCTAGCATACAGCTCGGGGATATGTATAAAGTAGCAGTTGACTGGAAGATGGAGCAGGATAGCAGCCATGGAAAGGGACATGAGCCCAAAGTGGCTGGGTTCTATCTGGTTCCCATACCAATGGTCAGAGTATGCACACACCTTCATTATGGTTGCCAGACTCAACTTTAGTGGCACCATGCGTGTGAGTGCGGATGGAAAAAGCATAGCCTATGCAAGTTTTGTTCTCCACGGTAGCTGCTTTAAGGAATGTACAATGGAAATGTAGGTTACCTGCTGCATTGGCATTGGTGTTACTGAGGTCAAGGGCTGGACATTCCTTACTGCTGAGGAGTATTTGTACTGTGAGATACCACGGGAGAAGGTTGGTGATGAGGGTGCCCGAACACTGACTGTCTGGGTCCCTATGTTGGCTGGAATAAGAACAGGAACATTTTGGAAGGCTGACCTTCATGGACCACCCCTTTAAAAGAGCTTCGAGAAATGGTGCTGAAAGAAAGGGACGAGGGAGATCATGGCAGCCCACAAATGCATCTGGGACCCAGATCACAGAGGCCTGTGAGATCGGGCCAAAATCTCCATTGCTCAACACCATTAAGTCAACATCATCAGAATTCTGCATCCCTGGGGTAGGAGGAGGTACTGTGACACCAGTGGCACAGGGTTAACCACACATCGACCCTTGTTGATTCTTGTCCAGAGGCAGTAGGTCTGAGCAAGTTTTGCTCCCAATTACTCAATTCCCAAACTGCAACCCATCTTGCAGGAGCACAGAACATGTTCAGTCCAATGACTGGATGCTACATTAGATGCCCATCAGAGTCTTCCTTGGACATGGCCAAGGTGGAGGCTGAATACCAAAAATGAGCAGTATATTGTAGCTTACATTTCTTACTGCCAGTAACTAAACCTCCAGCCTTTCAGAGGGGGTGAGGGGTAAGGGCAACTTACAATGTGTGGAAAGCCACCCAGTGATTGTTGCCTGGGGGAGACAAGGTGGGGCCGGGGTGTGGGCATCTGGCAAAGCTCAGAGGGCCAGATTTGGCCCCTTCTCCTGAGGTTCTGCACTCCTGCCATGGAAGTCGGAACTCAATGAGGCTGCTCGTAACTACATAGGTCAGCCCCAAATTCTACCTCCTGGGCCTGCTTTGTGTTGACAGACCCCAAGAACTGCCACAAACAACGAAAAGTCACAGCACATTTGCCTTGCAGTTTGGGTCAGTTTGCAGACTGCATTTAAGAGGTCAGCTGTGCACATGGATTACTGATCCAAACCCAAGCAGAAGCCATGCCTCTGAGTATCATATAGTTCATGCTGCACTCCCCTGGCTGATGACTCACCAGTGTTTCCTGACTTACCCACTCTCTGGGCATTGGGTGGCACCCTGGGAGCTTGAGTGGATGCTTGCCTCATAGTGCTGATGTTGGACAGCAGGCGTCGAGGAGGCGCACTAGACCTCAGGATTGGAGTGGTTGAGTGGTAGGATGCTAAAGACAACAGATGCTTGATCAGAAAACTTATTTATGCATTTGTTAATGGGATTAGCAGAGAGCCATGTACAGTGCATCCTTCAGAAAACTGACCCACAACCCAGTGGTGCTTCCAGATGTGCAACTGCCCTGCTTCTTTCATACGGCACAGAGGGCCCAGACTTTGCTGTCTTTCACCTGTAACACTTCTGACACTCCCTCCCACCCAGAAATTAATCCACTGAGGAGGAAAAGAAAGGATATCTGTATAGTGCCTTTTGATTAATAGCACCAAGAGCCCCCTGCCTGGAAGCAGCTTGGGACCACCACACATTCCTCCCATCAAGATGCCTGCATTGGAAATTGGGCCTGCTGCCAGAAAAACGCTTGTTCTCAACATCAACCACTGCGAGTGTGGAGCTTCACACCAAGGCAGCATCAACCCATTCCAAATTCATGCACAGGTTGTTTCACTCACATGGAGGCCTGGAAGGCTGTGCATTCCAACGGGGAGCCGGGCGGACAGAGGCAACAGGGCTAGGACTGTAGAAAGTTGTTCTGGTTTGATGCTGCGAACAGGAATGCAGAGCTTTCTATGTAAACTCAACAGGATACATGCCGATTCTCATGTCAGCCAAGGAGCATTTTGAAAGAGAGCAGACTTGGGATTTCAGTGCCAATATTCAAGCACTTTTTATGCAGCTGCAACTGGGACCATAATTTGAGAATAAGGGTGCTTCCAGACCGTGCACTTTTCATGCAACCCTACTCAGAGTAGGAGTCCCCTGTACTTGCTTTATATTAACTCCACACCGCCCCCCGCCCCCCAGCAATACCCATGGAAGGAAATAGATATCACATCTCTTTTTGAGCCTTTCACCATTCCTTCTGTTTCAGACTTTGGACAACCCTTCACTGAACGGTCTCTGTTGTTCTGGGACTGTGTTTTGGGAAGAAGGACGCAGCAATACAAGACGCTCTGAGGCATCTGATCAGCGAAGGCCAATTCACAATCCTCTGCAAAAGCCCAATGCACCCACAGCTGTATTGCAGAGGCTACTGGTGGATCTCTCGCAGGTGCTTTGCTATGCATTGACAAGGGCTTCCGACACCCAGCTGTCCAACAGCCATACTCAAAAAGGTTCCCCAAATTAGTTTGCTGCCAAAGAATGCTTGAAGGCAAATGAACAGTGTGTCTTTGTACCACAGAAATCCTGAGCTTAATTCTCAGGCTGTACCCAATTCCCGGACTGACCATATGCTCAGAGGTGCCCTGTTTCTTCATTCTTAGTATGTGTCTAGCTGGCTGAGTCAGGACTGGTGGATCTCAGAGCTCAAGTGAAAAATAAAGTAGATCCTGCAAGCCTGAAGTCAACTCATCTTGATTTACAACCTGGATGTAATTGGGATTACCAAAAGAACGCTTGGGTGAAAGTGAGGAATGGTTTGGTGTGCAAAAGGGCTCTGGCACTAATCTGGGTGTCTAAAGGGACAGATAAAGGGGGAAGCAAGGTCTTCCCACTAGCCCTGCTGAAAAACACTTTTTCTTGTCCTTCCTTCCTTCCCTTCCCTTCCTTTATACATCATGTCTTTTTAGATTGTAAGTTTATGAGCATGGAGTGCCAATCCAGGAGCTTTCTTGACTGAGAAGCACGATAAAATTAATTCACCTAAGTGAAAATAAATGTGTAACGATTAGAAGAGCAGCAGCCTCGGTGTGGATCTTACCTGGGGCATGGAGGGCATGAAGTAGCCTGCTGGAGGCTGGAAGGGGCAAAGGAGGGGGCCAGGCAAGGCCCTCAAGCTAGCCAGCCTCTGCATGTACTGGTTGGTGAGAATGGCTTTCCGCTCCTCCTTCCGCTGGGCCAAGGCAACGTACAAAGGCTTGGTACTGACTATCCTTCCATTCATTTCAGTCACAGCCTTTGTCGCCTCTTCTGGGGAGGAAAAACATACAAACCCAAAACCCTTGCTGTGTCCACCCTCCGTCATCACCTAGAATTGAAAATTAGAACAGAGGCTACTGAGTGCATGATTCTCCTCTCTGCACAGCACAGGCAGGCAGAGACACAGAGCAAAGGAAGGACAGCTTTGAAGGACAGGTTTCCAAACATAACGGAATTTTCTACAGAAAGCATCTGCCCTACACAACCTGTTCATGCGAGGTTGTGGGTCCTCTCACAATGTTGTCATCCATCCAGGGCTTTTCCTGGACTTTCCAGCCATGTTCACAACTATTTATTTATTTATGGAGCAAGGACAATGCAGTGTTTTCCTTGGAGCCACCATAATTTGCTACAGAAACAGCATGTAAAGTCTACATTCTGTTCTATACCACAGAGTCACCTTTTGTTTGTAAAGGAACATATAGAAAAGGATGTGTAAAAGGACGTTCTTCCTTCCACAAAAGCAGTCTCAATAAATACTGAGTTAAATACCTCATGCAAAGAAGCTTTAAGTTCAGGATTTACAAAGCCCCTAGTACAGGCCAAGTCCTTGTGTTCAGTTCAAAGCTTAATGCATTATACTCTGCATGGCTGGCAGGGGTGGGCCAGGCACTGCATTCATTCATTCATTCATTCATTCATTCATTCTATTTCTATACTGCCCATAGCTGATGCTTTCAGTAGACAATAAGATATAATAAATCAAACGTGATTAAAAATTGATTTAAAATAGCATAAGTACATTAAACAATAAAAGACATTTAAAAAAACACCCAGCTAAGTGTAAACATTGTAGGCCTGTTTTCTGCCTAAACATGCATAGGATTGTTTCTTTAGAATGTGGAAAGAAATGTACAAAACCGCCAAATTTGGCAGGTGGGCAAACGGACCTCTCCAGAGGGCCAGAGTTGTCCCTTGGCACTCTGAAGGTCTCTGAAGGCACCTTGATCTCTGTAGGCCTTCAAAAGCTAACATCTAAGCATTATGATGGGGCTTGGTGATGCTGACGCTTTTCCTTCCACACACTGGTCCTTGCAACATTTCTGCACAGCTCTATCAACAGTCCCACACCTGCTTAATCTGCCAGTGCCTTCACCACATCACTTCTCTGGTCAATTTCAAGCACAGCACCCAGAATTTCATTCTAAATTACTGTGGCAATGGCAAGGAAGACAGAAGGGTAAGTGACTCTGATGATGTCTCACAATGATGAGAGCTTCACAGGGGCACAAAAGAGACAGCAAAGCTGCTTCCAGATCACATCATTTCAGGCTGTGTGTGACTGCTGCTTGCATGCAAATGTAAAACAAATAGATGCCTGGACATTAAAGAAAAATCCACAAAACCCCAGGCTTCTGGGGTGGGTTGGTAGCATGAAAGGTATGTGGAAAGGCACATGATTTTCAGATGGTGAGAACAAGATCTAAATCTTCATCATTAAATAGAACTAAAATACTTCTCCATAAAATGTAAGGCCCTCACCTTGGCACTAGTGATGGCTCCATATGGAGAGAATTCTTTCCTCAGCCGTTCATCATCAATCCCATCATCCAGGTTCTTTACATACAGGTTGACTCCCTGGAAGCAAACAAGCACTACCAGCACCTACAGCAATCCTATTTGTTCCTTGTCCTTTTATCCCCTGACTTTTTATATAAGGGCCCAATAATAGTGGCTCCAACATGCCACTATAAAGGGTGGAAGGGAACCACATGCCATCTAGATTGACAGCCCTCTGTATCAGCCTCCCCAACGCAGGGCCTCCAACTCCCATCACCACCAACAGGCCAGATTGGCTGGGGATGAAATCTGGAAGGCAGCAGGCTGAAGAAGGCTGATCAGGTTTAATGCAGAGTTTTGGAGATGCCAAATCCTTACCAACCATGGGCGATATTTTGGCTGGTCCTAGTAAAGCTCTTGCCCCAAGTGGATTTTAAAAGCTTTTATAGCAATGACCCAGCTCTTGACAGGTCCATTACAAACAATTCAGGGCATGGGGCAGGCAAGCTACACTCTTTCCATGGGTCTGCTTGGGGGATGCACTGCACTTCAAAAATGGGGTTGCCCTACTGCCCAGCTGGCCCAGATTGACTCAGATTCTAAGTATGCCTCTCAGAGCCTATTTGCACCATTACCTAGCCTAGATTCCTAGCTTCCACTTAACAAATAAAAAAGGAAAACAAGTCTCCAACTCTTGCTGAACCAGAGATATAAGATAAAACATACAGGCACAATTCCACCCAATCATTGGTGATCCTGCACCTGCCTTTTAGTGGGTTCAGCCAATAAGCAAAGCCATAGCTAAAGGCATGCTGGGCATCCTTGCTAGCTACACAGAAGACAAATATAGTGGGGGGCACCCAACTGAAAGGGTATTTCCTGATTCATTTTTAATCCCTTTTTAATCCAGTGTGATGGGGAAAGAACGGCCGACCATAAAAAGAATGAAGAAATCCAGAATTTTAGTGCAACTGCGATGGCATATTCACCCCAAAAGGAAAGGTAAAAGGAAAGTCAGAAGTTCATGGGCTTCCTAACTTAGACCATATTTCATGCAAAAGGCATAAATAGGCCTTCTTCCTCCCACCTATTTGTCAACATTTAAAAATTAACCTGCCAATAAAAATAAAGTGCACCATTATATCCATACTATAGAACAGGGTGCCATGGCTAAGAGAGTATTGGTTAGGGTCAACTATGAAAAGTAGCTTCGTTTGGGAGATGGAAGAGACAGACAGACACATGGCAACCATGGAGGATAACTCAGTGTTTATATCCAGTCTCTCAGCATTTGGGGACAGAAGGAGGGCAACTGAGCCTCTAGCATCCAGGATGTTGATTACAGAAGCAACCTTGGGAGAAGAGCATAGGCAGCTGCTTTCTCACCCACGGGGCAGGTCAGAGAGACTGCTGGGGTGGTGGGCTTTGATCACAGAAACACCCAGAAGGGAAAGTGATGACTCATCCCTCCCCCCGCCCCCGTGCCAGTTCTGCAACCCCCTTCTGCATTTCTCTTTAAAACATGAACCTGAAATACGCAGTTTGTGTTTCAAGTCATCAAACAGTGCCCTAATATATTGCTGTATAAGTTATCACTACCCTTCCTCCATCCTTGCTGTTGCTTGCCATAAATGGGCAGGTTTCATCTTCCAGCCAAGGACCCATCTTCCTCCCCACAGCACATGCACACACATTCTAACCTGCCAGTTCTGGACTTTTAGATCAGGCCCCTCTGCCAGAACGGCATAACGGGATGCTACCTTAGCCTGTGAGATCCTTAAAGTCACAGGCTCTTCACAATCCTTCCTACACCTTATCTTTGTTTCATGTTACCTGGTATCGGCTCACTCTTTCTTGTTTGATTTGCTCAAATTTACGTTTCAGCTCACTCTGGCGTTCTATCCTCTTCTGAGCCCTGCCAACATACAGCACTTGCCCATTGATCTCCTTCCCATTCATGTCTTCCACAGCCTGCCAGAGGAGCAGAAGTCAAGGGAGGAGGACACGGGAAAAGTTGCAGTATTAGCCTTCCTCCTCAACAAGTCTGACATCTGTTGCTCCGAAAGATGCTTTGCACTGGTTGAATTGCCAGGGTGAACCTCTTTTGGCCCAAGGACTGCATTCAATTCCAGAAAAACTCTCAGGGCTACCTACCAAGGGCGTGTGGGAGCTCCAGGCAAAGAAGGTGGGGCCAGAAATATGAGCATATTTTAGTTCAAAGCTCTTACTGCCAGTAATTAAGTGCAAGGAGAAGCATTTCATCTTTTTATCATGTGAAAAAGCCCCTGAAAAATCCAGGAAATCACCCAATGATCTGTAGGTATGGAAAACTGGTGGGACCATGGGAAGTCGGTATGGCTGTCTCAGGGACCACAGAGAACCAAACTGGAATCCCAGCTGGGTCAAATTTGGCCCAAGAGCTTCTGGTGCAACACTTTTGTTTTATTGTCTTTACTAAGTCCTGCCTTTCTGAGATATTTCAGGCAATGAAATTCTGCTCCCAAAAAGTAATTTACTTGGTATTGAAGGCAACAGGCATTTGTTGCACATAGAAAAGCTTCATCACATAATAGCTCAGTCTGTGAGGAGGCACCAGTACACAAAGCCCATGAACTTAGATACACACACAGTTCCCAAGTCAGATTTCTCCACCACCAATAAGTCTTCCAACCAGGCTTTGAATTTGTAATAGGAAGAATAGACATGTATGAGGTCAAGATAGATAGAACAAAGACCATCTTGCCTTCTGAGCATCTTCATGTTTCTCAAAATTGACAAACCCAAACCCTTTCGAGCGGCCTGCATTATCCAGCATGACCTTGACACTCAGAGTCTTTCCTAGAAGCAGAACAAGAAGCTTTAGGCCAGTGTGCCAGCCAGCAAGGTCTTACAAAGGAGAACAAATAACAATAGTGCCCAACAGATGGGACTACTCTTCTTGACCACAGGTGAGGTACCTACTAATTGTGGGCCTAATTCGGCCATCGGAAGTTTCCCTGCTGCTCCAGAGAGACTGAGGTTCCATCTGTGGGTTCGACCCCTCCCCAAGCACCATGCCCTGGCCTGGAACCTACCAGGGGCTTGGGGAGAAGATGAAGAGAATAATTCCCTTGTTATCTCTGATCAGAGACAAGAGCATTCTCCAGAAGTATAAGAGGCATCCCCTTGCTATCTCCAATACAGATAGGAGATAATTGAGGAATTCCAGTTGGGAAGGGGAGAGGCACATTTAGCCTGCAGGTTAGACTATGCATGCACTTTGACTGCACTCATTTGTTCTCTTTGCCTTAAAGAAGCCTTGGCAGCTTTATCTTCAGCACTGAAAATGAGCAGTCTGGATTACAGGGTAAAGATTTCTGCTCCAGTAAGGCTAGCCTTCTTTTCTTGCTCTGTCCACCTTGAGCTACCTTAAATCGCCTGGGAAGGGCCTCTGCTGCCACATAAGCTTAGACTGAAGAAATTAAAAGAAAACAAGCAAGCAAAATGTCTGCAATTCATCAGGCAATCCTTCTCTCAAGTCTGGTATTACTGGAAAGGGGAAAAGCATCTCTGTTTCTAAACTGGATTCCATGCAGAGATGGATCCCTAGTAGGACATTTAATAGCTACCCTGGGGGCTAGTGAAAGGATTTATAGCCTCCATTTATCAAAGGGGGACTTCTTTGTTTGGCAATGTTGTGTCAGGATATCAGCTATTTGAAGGACAAAGCAATGCAAGTCTCTTCCAAAGCAGGAAACACTTTGGAAACACTTTGACAATCCTTTGCTCAGGTTTCTCATATGTACAAGCTCACTATGATTCTGTCAACATACTCTTCCAAAATATTGCACTCACCAAATTTTGAGAATATTTCTTTCAGCCTCTCATCATTCATGTCATCTCCAAAGTTTTTAATGTAAACATTGGTGAATTCCATTGCTTTGGCTCCATATTCCGCTTCCCTCTCTCTCCTAGATTTAAAGTGGCCCACAAAGCTGCAAAGAATAAAGAATATGTAAATCCACTTCACTGGACATTAAACATGGAGCAAGCAGGAGACAATTGTCTGTACTATCCCTATATAATCAGCAAGGACCTTGTGCTTCGGGTCCTAAGTCAACAACAAAGCCTGTCCCAGACACTTGCCTGGAAAATACTGTGCCCCAAACACTAGTTATCCTGAAGTGCCTAGGTCATCCTCTGAATGAGAAACCCAGGGATAAATTGCTGAATTCTTGGATGAATAAAATGACAAGAAAAATGTGAAAGCTACTCTAGGAAGATGAGGAGAGAAACTCTAAAGATTCCCACTTTATACTTTTCCTCCCCAACTGGAAAATATTTTTCTGAACATTATTCAATATATAATAAGCTCTTGAGGTGTATTAAGAAAATGGAAACATAGAAACAGAGCGAGTCAGAAGGGGTCTCCCGGGCCATCTAGTCTGACCTCTGGCTCCAGCCAGCTCTGCTCACGACATGCCCACCATGTGGATATCCAGCCTGTCTTTGAACACCCACACTGATGGGGCCTCAACCACCTCTTGTGGAAGCCCATTCCACACCCTCGGGGTCCTGACTGTCAGGAAGTGCTTCCTTGCATCCAAATGGAACCTTGGCTCCCTGAGCTTTGCTCTGTTGGAATGCATCCTGCCTTCCTCTGCAAGGGAGAACAGGTCTCTACCCATCTCCATGTGACATCCCCTCACATACCTGTATGTCGCCAACATATCCCCTCTGAGTCTCCTCTTCTCCAGGCTGAAGAGACCCAGTTGCCTCAGTCTCGCCTCATACCCCATCCCCTGCAAACCGGCCACCAACCTTGTGGCCCTACGCTGCACTGACTCTAACCTGGCTATATCCTTTCTGTAATGAGGGGCCCAAAACTGAGCACGATACTCCAGTTGCGGGCGCACCAGAGTCGTACAGAGTGGCAGTAACACCTCTCTCGATCTAGAAGGCACGCTTCTGGCTATGCAACCAAGGGCGGCGTTCACCCTCTACAGAGGACGAACATAGAGCCTCCTCTATGGAGGCTCTAGAGACTATATTTTACCTCTGTGCAGGTCAGTGTAGAAGTCCTCCTCCCCACCCACTTCCACAAAACTCCACTTACACCTTACGGTCATTGAGAAGCATCCCATTCATTGTGTCAATTGCTCTGCTTGCAGCCTCATGGGTCTCGAAATGAACAAAGCCATAACCCCGGGATCCATTCTCATCACAAACAACCTTTAAGACATAGTGGAAGGGGAAGGAGAGAAGAATGAAGACAGACAGAAACCTGGAAGCAAACACAGGATATTGTCTGCCCTTGTTAACCCCATGTGCATGTCTCTCCATTCAATAGTGACAAAACCTCCATGTAGGGCCAGCCTTGCCATTGGGTAGAATGAGGTGCATGCCTCTGAAGGTGGAGAGCTTGGAGAAGAGAGCTATGAACCAGCCAGCCTGCCCTAGACTCCGCAAGTGAGCCTACTGCCTTCAGGTGCAGTAGTGGACCCTGCCGCATTGCAGGTCTTGGATAAATATTCAGCTGCCAGGTGACTTGCGTTTTGGACATGCAATGGGAGCAAGAGCGATCATGTTCTTCAGCACAGGCAGCAAAATGCCTTGGGCTCTGCCCCATAACACTGTAACCCAGCCTTCCTCAACTGAATACACCCCCATATGTTTTGAGCTACAAGCTCCATCACCCACAACCATTGGTCATGCTGGCTGGGACTGATGAGAACTGTTATCTAAAGCATCTGGTGCGCACCAGGTTAGGAGGAGGATTGCTGCAACCAAAGACATCTCCAAGCAGCACTTGGCAATGGGTTCTTTAGCAATCAGCACAAGTTTTTGCCACTTTAGGAAAAGGAGGTAGGTCCTATCCAGGTTTCAAAGGGGAAAAGTAAGTACATCAGTACACCAGAATGGGCCTGGTGTTTATCATTTAGCTGCTGCTTCTTTGAGCCACTGAAGAAGTTTTGATGGCAAGGTAAAAACCTCCTCCTTTTGTTCCATTAGAAGATGATGCAATGAGTCCCCCCCACACAAACACCGGACAGGAAAGAACACTTGAGTATGCTTTGCCTGAGGACAAAAGACCATTTTGACCATTGCAGGCAAAATAAGAAGACTGGAAGGGGTTTAATTCAAATAGAACTACTAAGTACAAGTAGATTATATTTAAAATTGTTGCTCACAAAAGAATATTAAGGAAGAATCACAGAATCACAAAATAGCTGAGTTGGAAGGGGCCGGAAGGCCATAAACCCCCTGCTGTTGCACCAGTTTACACCAATACATGCAAATGACTGTCCAGATGCTTTTTGAATGTCTCCCTCCATTTTTAAGACTGTTGGTCAAAAATGATACACCAGTCACAATGAGAGAATCATACTGACAGTTGCAACTCAACTGTAACTACCTTGCATGAAAGGATATTCCCAAAAGCTGAAAATGTATCATACAGGGCTTTGTTATCAATGGAATCATCTAGATTCTTGATGAAGATGTTCCCAATACCCGATTTCCTGAGCCCTGGGTCTCGCTGAGACCACATGATGCGAATAGGACGACCTTTGATCACTTCAAAATTCATAGTATCCAAGGCCCGCTCAGCTGGTAGGAAGAAACACACACACATTCACTTATACACAAGCCCAACAACAACAAAAATGCATACACAGTTTGCTACCAACAGAGATAATAATCTCCAAGTCTTACAACTGGAGGTGGGGATTAAGAAATTGGTGTAAGAGGAGAAACTGGAAGATGAAGGCAGAAATAACTTCCCATGGAATAACCATATCTCCAAACAGGTGCACAGTCCCATGTGGATAATATCAGGAAAGCTTAGTGTTAGATCCTCTCTGCAGGTCTTCTGCAGATCAGACCCTGCTCCTGGAAGAACCCTTGAAGCTGCCATGGGCAGTGTCTACCATGGCTAGCCTTAAGCACAACAGCCGAGTGAGCTGGAGAATGGAAGGGAAAAGGCTGAGAGTTCCTTTCATTTTGGTTTAACTCAGCAGCTACCTTGCAGATATCAGAATGCATTTAAAATGAAAAATGTTCCTTGCTGCTTCATTTCTAAATTTCAGAGCTCACCCCCAAGGATAAAAAAAAGGGCAGTGTCAAGTGACATTTTCTCTCAGTGGGTAGGGCAGCGGGGACACAGAACCTCCCTTTCCCAAGGAAAAGCTTAGGTCTGGTGTGGGCACCTTCTTCAATATGGATTCAATACCGCATTTAATGAGTTAGAGGTTATCTCATTGGGAGACAACCATAGAAGGAAGATGATTTACAAGAAAGTGGCAAATTCCCTGCTACTTAACTTATCACAAACTGATCAGTTGTTGGTTCTTGACACCACTAATAATAATAATAATAATATTGATCGGGACAACTATGTTGGCAATGTGGATTTCAGGCAATAGATGCCAAACGTATGTGGTAGCTATTCTCCGACTATCCACACTTCCTGGAAACAAGCTAAGGAACACATAAACAGCTTAACTTGATGGGGCTTGATTTCTCCCTGAAAATAATGTACTGGAGTTTTTTCAGTCTTACATTAAGCAACAATATCTAACTTCCTAACAGCAGGAAATATTATTATTGATAAAAACTGAGGTGGGAATTATCTTTAAAGGGTGGATAGATAAAGTTGGACAAATAATGCAGTTATAAAAAAAATTAGCAAGGCAGAGATAGATAGCTGAACAGAACATTTGTGAAAGCTTGCAGTTCTTTAAATAAATATTGGAAAATTCCAAGATGGAAATTAGTAGGCATTCTGTCAGTTATCCAAGTAATTTCAAAGATATTTTTGAATAACTCAGACATGAAGAGTTAGAGCAAAATGTTCTTTGTGTTTTGTGTCAATTAGTAAGGTGTTGAGTAATAAATTTGCATATCAGTAGAGAGAGAGAGAGAGGAAAGAGGGGGGAGTTCTCACTTACCATCAGCAGGCTGCTGAAAATTTATATATGCATAACCCAGGGATCGGCGTGTGGCGACATCTCGACAAACTCTGATGGACATAATTGGTCCAGCAGGTGAAAATTTCTCATACAACATGGCTTCAGTCACATCTGGATGCAAATCTCCCACATAGAGAGAGGCTAATGGATATCCTGGGCCACTAGCATTCATGGTCAATCATGCAGAGTAACTTTGGAAGTGAAGCAAAACCTAGTTACTCCCATACAACAAAACAGGGATTTTAGAGACACAAAACCAGCAAGACTTCAGATCAGATGAGGCAGCCTGCATGTAATCTAGCACTGAGTCCTTAGTTACCTGTGCAGAAATTGACCATTATACCATGAACACAACCCACATGATATCAGGGGAGAAGTGTTAAAGCTGAAATGCCTCTCAGGTAAATCTTGCACTTTCACCAAGATTTCTCCCATTCCATGTAAATGAGTGAAGAATGCACATGTAACCCTACTAAAGCTGCTTCCATGTCTTGCTTCAAAGAGCGGAAAATTATCTCAGACAGTCACAGGAAAAATTCTACACAGGGGAGAAAGCCTGGAATTTACTGAAAATTGTCCCTAATGTTTTGTTTTATAAATTTCTAATATATCTTTCAATATTTGTTCTGTCCAGTTATTTTCCTCTTCAAGCAAATTCAGATCTACATAGGGTAAAATATTTGAACTACTCTGCAACTTGTGTCAGCCAGGGTCAGAGTGCCATCATGTTTTATACAGCCCACAGAGAAAGCCAGTGCAGAGCAGCAGTCAGAGTGTTTGAGTGAGATCTAAGTTCTAGTCCTTGTTCAGCCATTAAGCTCACTGGGTGATCTGGGGCCAGTCACTCACACTTGGCCTAACATACCTCACAGGATTGTTGTGAGGATAAAATGGGGAGAAGGAGGTCTACATAAACAGGGAAAGGTGGAGTGTAAATATAATAATAAATATGTGTAAAATTACATCTCTTTTATCCACTCCTTTTCTATCCCCATTCCACAATACACAATATACTACCATTGTGGAGTCACAGAATTCTGCTCCCTCTACACAGAAAACAAGCAAGAGTAATGAAGAGTCCTTGCCCTCCCACCCCAAAAGCAGGCCACCAATGCCAACAAAAGATGCTCAACAGAAGAACAGATATGGAAGAGCATAAATGCCCTGGATCATCTAATTTTTGGGATTCTGTGTCCAGGGAGCCAGGTTCCACAAATCCCTCTTCTGGTATCACTGCATCAGATTAATTTTGAAAAGCTTTTCCCTCCACAGTTCTCCTCTGATGGCCTGCAGACCGTCACAACAGTCCGCAGAATTTGGAACTCAGCTGTTAAAAGCTTGTGCTTCTGCTCCTAAAAGTTCACGTTGCGGTTCCTTCTATTTCAACAATGCTACGCAGCCTCCTCTCTGCCACCTTCAGGCAAAGCAAGAGCAGAGCTCCTCCCAGAAAGAGGCGGTCATTGCAGTAGCCCTTTAAATGAGATATACAAATGTGAGAGCAGCCTCTTCTCTGCTTTACAGTCAAAACCACATGAGAGTTATAACTGAAAACACAGTTATTGTGCCCAGGATATATCTGCACATGCAGCTACAATTTTTGAGCATTTTCAACTGGCTTTTAGAGTTGAGCAGTTACCTTTCCTACAGGAATTACTATACATATGCCACTTTACAGTAAAGGTAAATATGTATAACTCCCATCTTACCTGAGCATTCATTGGCTATGTGAGTTGGGGTTGTTGGGTACTGAAGTCCAAAATTTCTAGAGAAGCCCAAGCTGGGGAGAACTGCTTTATACCCTTGGCTAAGTTGTTTTTTCCCTCAGAAGGAAGCTCTAATTGGTTTAACTCTTCATCATCTAGATTAATTAACTAGAAGGAATTTTCACAGCCCCCATGAAAAGGAGCTAAAGGAACAATCCCATGCAAGATTCCTCAGCAGAAAAAAGTTTCCTAT